TTCAACCTCATATAAATGTGTTGAATTCTTCTTCAGGAGAGCAATTCAGTGGGCAAATTTTGGACAATTACGTTTCACTTGCTCGATACTTCCAAGACAAGATCTCTTTTTTGCACCATTCGTTTTGAAGAACTTTAAAATTCACTTTTCCACCTCGTCCTATAGAAGCCTGTGTATAAATTCACAACAAAAAGCACTCACACACTCTCACGTGAGTTGTGTATCTTCAGGTATTTGTTTCTAGGGGATATCGAACTAGCTGAACTTAAGCTGACTTCCTGTGGAAAAGACGATATTGTGGCCTGATATCTAAAAGGCCGAACGACTTTGCCTGCGAAGCCACAAATTATCAGCTTATTCAAAGTTGGAGAACAAGATTAAGAGTGAGTAGTGAGGACAAATTGCAGCCAGGAACTAAGAAGCTGTAGGATTTGACGTACAGGGCCACAAATTATCAGCTGATTTTCTGTGTGATGAGCGTCTCAAAATTGCTGCTCATGCAGGGTTGCTTACATAAAATTGCAACCACACAAATTCTAACTTTGGCGACAGCGCACCATAGTTTGATAGCTGTTTTGCTAGTGAGAATCTAATATTAGCAGCAACGTAAGTAACCATCTGGTCATGCTGTAATAAGTTGACTTGGTTAACAGTCACTGGAGATGTGAATTATACTTTCAAAGGAATTTCCCTAGAACCGATGGTATAAGAAACATTCTTTGGTCATTCCTAATATAGATTGTCTACGTCACTCCTTAATAAAGAGAAATTTTTTGTTAAGTAATTAATGAGTTGGTAAAATTACTTACTGTCAAGTGATAGCTTCTCCAGGTGTCGGGGCAATATGTGCGGTCATGAGTGGTCGAGTCACACAGAGTACATTTTTTTGGAGCTCGACAATTTTGACAGCCGTCTTGGAAACTCTTTGTTCTTGAGCCACACTGAAAAGAAATCATTAAAAAACGTATTACAAATCCGTAAAAACTTTTTTAAGATACTTTTTTAAACCAAAACTTTCTTACAAACAAATTTCTGAAATCAAATCTTAATGAGTTTTTATTTATCAAATATTTCAGTGTGCCATCTGCCACACAGGAAACAAATAATTACCGATTTAAGGACAAATTAAGAGATTTGGCAATGTTTTTTCAAGATGACAGCTTGAGCGGCAACAATCAAAGGTAGCAGAGTTCAAATTTGGATTAAGAAAATGCAAAATACAACTGAATAGTGCATGGGAGTCACGAGTCGGAGAGTTTTTTCCATCTGCGAAGTAAACCCTTTCTTGGTCTGGTCTAGATCGACTAGACAATGATGAGTGTCTTAATTTAGGATGCAGCTGAATCACAAAAGAAGATACTAACCCTCAGGCATTTGGTGTCAGTGCATGCATTCTGAGAATGATTATAACCACCACATATTGAGCAAACAACTGGTTTATTTGGTTCTTTACACTGGTACTGTAGGTGGCCCCACTGTAGACATCGATTACACTGTTTCCCTCTTTTCCGTTTTCGAGAAGGAAGCAAATCCTGATAACTGCTCACTTTCCAGTCAGAGGGCTTGGTTGTTGCTAAAAAATTAAAATGAAGATAACGGTTATGATTATACAAATCTGTTATTTGCTTCAATTCTTCAGAAAAAAAGAAATGAAAAATGCAATCTGTTCATAATGTATTAAATGTCTTAAGAGGAACGTCCCTTATGGTTACGCTACATTTTAAGAAGGAAGCTATTTGCAGAGGTAAGTATTTGTTATTGATGTTAATAGGACTGAGTTGATAAACATGATGTTCAAAACTTTGAAATTTGACAGTCAAGCAGGAACGAAATATAAAATTGGGGAACAGGATCGGTTGATTGACCAGTAGAATATAGCAAATAAATGAAACTTGACTTTGCAAAACACATCTGCAATGTCATTAATTTTTAGAAACTACCATAGTTAATGTAGAATTTAAAAATCATTGCACCTTACTAAAATCTAAATATGTACATAAGAAGAAGTAAATGCATAAGAAATGTGGCCCGTACTATAAGAAACAAGGTGGTAGAACAGTGCTGGGTCCCACTACTTTGCGGGGAAAACAAGGCCAAAAAATTTAAAAATTTCAATTGGAGTAAAAAATTTTGAGTTCTAATAAGTAACAGTACAAGACTGAGGGAGGAGAGAGTTTGGCTCAGGCAGATGCATTGGAATATCAAGCTGAGGCCACACCAAGAGATTTATAACTTTTTGGGTCTTTATAGAGACATCAGTGGATCACAGTCGTCAGTAAGCATTAAAACGCTGTCATGAATATCACAAGAGAGAGAGCTCATTACTCAGTAGAACTCAAAATTATCAACTCTAATTGAATCTAGTAAGAAGAGAGGACTTTCTTTTTTTTGGGTAAATTACTCATTATCATTCTGAAAAATTTTCTAGGGTAATATACAATCCTAAAGTTCCCCCCTCCCCCCCCAAAAAAAAACTTACCTTTCAGTTCTTTCAGGATATCGACATGATCAAATGTTTTGCCACCCCAACTTTTGCAGTAATAACTGATCATTTCATCGGACCAGGAGGGCGGACAGTTAGATGCATAACCATTACTCTTTGAGGTTGAATTAGAGGCAGGCCGAGTGATTTTGGAAATTGCTTGGTTCTTAGCAGAGCATGTTTCGATGTTGAGGATCATCTCTTTATCTTGCGTGACTGTGCTTGAAGGATTTGCATTAGGACTGGAGATTACCTCAATGTCACTTTCATCACTTGAGATAGTAATGACGTTCTCATTCAAGTTGATCTCACTCTGAGTAGCTTCATTCAATCCTCCTGGTTCACTTCTGGAGACCTTTTCTTGAACTCTACATTTTTTTAGGGACTTTGCGACGAGAGCCTTTTTAACCAGAGATTCTATCATAACTTCTGTGGCTTTTACACCTTCTGCTGTTGTATGATCCTTAAGTTGATTGCCAAAAATAAACAACTCTCTCAAGAGACTTTCTTTAATCAAACCGCAATATAGTGTATTAAAACAATCCGATGTTCGCTTGTATTTGGCAAGGACTTTCACAAATTTATGTTTTGGATTACAGCGCTTTTCTTTCATAGAAAATTCGTGGAACTGCTTAAACACTCTACGCAATGATTCATTTTCAGATATGTAAGGATTATGTTTCAACAGTAAATTACGCAGATCATTTTCGCTATCCTTCTCACAGACAATGGACTCTTCGCCATTATCTAATTTACGCTTCTTCAATGGCAAACCATCACTTGATTCACTGCTGGAGTCTTCATTGTCATTTAAGTCTGGGTATTTCTCAGTTTCAGTCACCATCTTTTCCTTCGTACATGCCTGATAAATATCATAAGTAGCAAACATCTGTTCCTTGAAGTCTGCATCAATTACAAGGACTGACTCACCAGGAAGATTGAGCATTTCTGAACAAAAACGTTTCACACATTCATTTTTTGATGCATGGCTTTTTTCAGCTACAAAATTTTTAAACTTCTTCAACACAATCTCTCTAACAGATTCTTTTCTGGAGGAATTCTTTTGAAGGATGTTAGAATACAACTTTCTGATTTCATTGAGGTTAAAAGACTCGAATGTATCTACATTTGTTGGGTTTAAATAATCAAGAAACTCCGAGACTGCCTTGTGAACTAAAGTACTACGAGGCGTACAAGCCTCTGTGATAAACTGAGAGAATATTTGTTTCAGTTCATTCGGAAAAAGGTCTTTTTCTTTCAGTTTCTTCTTCAAAGAATCGATGGGGCGCGCATACTTCAAAACTAATTCCTTGCACTTGGCATAAGAGGTAGGATCAGAATGAGGATACGGTAAATTTCTCACTATATTCCGAACAGTTTGTCTGAAGTTGTCTGACTCAGTTTTCATCCACGATACATAAGAGACATAAGCAGATAATTTTTGGTCAAAATCTGCAACTGTATGTTCTTTTCGGTTAGTTTCTATCTCGGTGTCACAAATTATTTCAAATTCCTTGTTATTTTTCAATGCGATCGATTTGGATACATCAATTTGTTCCACATGATTAAATTCAAGAGGACTTTGCTTCAAAGAATTTCTGCCTGTATTTTGCTTACAGGAGCTCCTCTCCTGACAAAGACTCTCTGGCATATCCGAACCAACAGATCGAAGTTGATTTTTGTTGACTGCTATACATACGTCTGTTCCAGAGACAGTGATGGAATAATTTGAAGTGATTTCCGGAGGTAGAGGCTCATTTAGGTCATTGTAATGCAGGATACTATATAACCTTGCTTCCAGTTCTGAGGGAGTTTCACTACAGGTAGAGTTTACAGACGATTCATCCGATGAATTCTGGTTCTCCCGAAATGAGTACATACTTCACATTAATCATTGCGAGGTCTGCAAAAAGCAAAAGAATAAACAGGGGGGTTACTTATTCTACTTCCTTTCGGAGTAGATTTTTTAAACAATTTTCTATAAGTTATGAATCTAGCATTGCAACTTCATTCACATATCAAAGTATTGGTAAGGTAACATCAATTTAGGGTGGAAGTGAAGGGTAGCCATTGACAAGGCTAACTGGAGAAATGTTAAGGATAACTGAGATAGATTTGTGACAGGAATTTGCCAGCATTAGAAGGGACTGAAAAGACTAATTTTACAAAAATTCATCCCAAAAATTGGACTTGACTTGTCAAGAGTAGGGTAACCTCAAGCTCCAGTGCTTATTGCCTGGCTGAACACTCCTAGAGCAATAAGCAAAGCAAAAACCACTAGAGTTCGAGGTTACCCTAGTCAAGAGAAAAACAGGTGTCTGCTACTGGTAAAATAGTAAAAAAATATTCAGATATTGAATATCACAAGAGCTATTGGACCACTGAAATAATTGGCAGACTGTATGAGTTGGGAGGACTTGAGTTATTCAATCCTGAAAGAGGCCATTAATAAATACAAGAAGGCTGCCCAACTAGTGTGTAAAATTGATCCACTTTTGTACCATACTTCAGAGCCTCAGAGGTTGTTTGCATTGACCCTATGCGGCACCAGTGTAATTGGCTGCGCAGTGAACAGTGGTGCAACTGCTCGCCCCTAGCTGCTCCCAGACTTCTACATATCTTAAAAAAGTCTGTTGTTGATTGCCGAACACAGAATACAAAATATTTTGCGGAACTGTTGAGTAATTTGGTGCATGGATCGTTAGGTTAGGTTAGGTAAGGGACTAATTAGTAAAATCTTCAGTCAGTCCAAACAAAATTACATCCAGGATTCCAGTGGGCATGCTGACTGACAACATGTAGTAGTGAGATAAAGACACCGTGAATGCAGGAAACGCTTCCAGGTGTAATGAAAATGACAAAACAAAAAGTAAATGAGAGTCGCTTGTCCAATCATGCGTACACCCCTTGTCATTATACATTCATTACTAGACACAAATTTATAAGGCTAGCTTATACTCACCAGAAGATGTGGATCTCTATCGCAGACTTTAAAGAGATTGGGAGAAGTTGAGAAATTGGTGATAAGGACACCACAAGCAGAGTGTGTAGAGCTGCTACACACGTTGATGGACACAGATTTTTAGAGGTGTCATGTATTAAAATTCAACGTAGGTACTTTCCTAAGTTTAGAAAAATAAATAACAAGAAACTGGAACAAATACAGGTGATTAAGTCCTAAGAGATAGAACAGACAGAAACACTTTAATCCTTTTCTACAATAAGAATGATAAACATGGACGACTCGGACAACACGTGAAGCAATCGTGAAGTTGGAAGTTTGGAAGTGCAAATGAAAAATGAAAATGCATCGTCGGAATCGGTGAGCGGTGTCGTCGTTGACATCGAAGAATTTGATGGATTTCGTGATAGCCCCGGTTAAGAGTCCCTTTATACCCAGAGTTAAGACAACTCGATTATCAGCTGACTCGCAGCCGGCCTTGGCTGGCCATGGAGGCCGAAACGAGTGCACCCAAACGAACGATATTGAGGGATANTCAGGTCTTATATCTTAATATTTTTCTGTAATCTCGATAGAATTACAGGAAAAAATTGCAAGTTCGCGAGTTTTATCTTTATTTCTTGTGATTCTCAAGCTTAGATGAGCTGTAGTAAATACTAAGTTGTCTTTTATTTTTTCATTAGAAAATTAATTTTTTTCGTACTTTTGTTTCATTACCTTTCAGTACATATATAACTTTAATAAAATGTTAGTAAATACTAAGTCGTCTTTTATTTTTTTATTAGAAAATTAATTTTTTTCGTACTTATGTTTTATTACCCTTCAGTTCATATATAACTTTAATAAAATGTTGTTTCACCTATAATACAGGTTTATTCATTTGATTATTTCAGTGACTGAAAAGCAGAATTAATACATTGATTGTGAAAGTCCGAATATCTCAATTTGAATTGTTGGAAATAAATTTGTTGTCACCTTTTGTTTTTTACAGGGAAAATAACCAACGCAATTCTTTTAAATTACTCCTGGTTCTTCTTCACCACATGAAGATAATATTTTGTGGACGTTTTAAGCAATACCATTTCTCACTATTTCTTTAGTAATTTGAAGACGCAATGAAATGTTAATTAGCAGAAATTGAGAAGTTGGAACTTTCACAGTCGAAATGCATTCCATTTACTCACAGTAAATTTTAAAAGTACTTAACGACTAAAATTTTCACTCCTTTGACACCAAAGTAGATTGTCATTTCAATTTTTTCTTAGCCATGTAGCAGAGGCAAAAAAGAGGGTACAAAAAGCTCAGAACATTTGGCTCAACAAAAAGGAAGCAAGTCCATGGTTTCTAGAAAAAAAAATTCGATAGTATATTTTTACGCTCGACGCTCGTATCACAACTATCACAACAGGTAACATGCCATAACCTCAAACACGAACAAAAACAACTGCATTCATCCAAGCGTTCTCTGGGATTCTGTGTTTGCCGATCCATCCGACTCCATCCGTGTCGTCATGACCTACGTCATCTCCGTTCGTCTCCGTTTTTTGGATTCAATCCAAGGATGAATTCTAGAACGCACCCGTTGCCCGTGTAACCGCCCATCAAATCGCCATCAAACTGGAAATTCTGATGTCCGAAAAATGGCCGCCACTTTGATCGGAATTGGTTCGGAATTTGATCGTCTATAGAGGCCTGAAGTTTGGAAGTCAAATGAAAAATGAAAATGCATCGTCGGAATCGGTGAGCGGTGTCGTCGTTGACAGCGAAGAATTTGATGGATTTCGTGATAGCCCCGGTCACACAATCGAGCCAGCCCAACACGCCAGCCTTGTTACAATTGGAAAGGTCAAGTGTTGTGATTGGTCCAAGTCATTGAATGAGCCAAGCAATCACCTGACCTTGGTGTCTTAACTACACGGTTTAATGGTGGAACCCAGGCTACGTTAAAGAAACAACTAAATAATTTAGGTTAGCCCAGGTTAGCCAGATTAAATCGTCAGCCAGAGTGTTTATCTATTGGCTTTTGCTTACTACAAGTTTATCAGAAAAGACATAGACTCTCATGAGTCTATCGGTGTGAAAGCAAATTCTTGTCCCGCAGAATTGTCATTTAAAATCATTCACTATGTGGTATGAAACCCTCCCTGCTTTCGCGATCGTTGGAAGTCTCCTTTTCTTCCCTCAATTGTTGGTGTTTTACACGAACAAATGGTCCTGTAATGGTCACGTAAGTTGTATCCATTTTATCCCAAGATATTAAGTCTTCGATTTAACATGATCTATTTAACACCTACATCTGCAATCCAAACCAGATCTAACTTTGTTACGGATTCAAGCCAACCTTCTCCTGACCCTGAACCGATCAATCATGAGACGGATACTCTTAGGCGTTCTTTCAAAGCCAAGAAACGCTGGACTGTTCAAGCACAATTTAAAACATCATTAAAATCAAATTCATGGTGATTCTTTACATAAATGCGAAGGAAGGAATTTGGGATGATCATAGGCGGTTCTACGGGGGTGCCAGTGGGTGCCGGGCACCCCCAAGCAAAAATTAAGTGCGGTTATTGGAACCGTGAAATTACTGCTTTTAAAGATTCTGTATTCACTCACACTGAGAAAAATTCCAGCAATTGATGGAAAATGTTTTAAACAGAATTAATATTGATAGCCGTGTTTTACAAAGATTCTACTGCTTTTTTATGATAAGATTGTAGTTTTGATGGAAAGTTTTGCTGAAAATTTTCTACACTGAATGTACAGGTATTTAAGTAGAAAGGAAGGAGAGAAAAAGAGAAAAGAGGGTAGGAAAGGGATTAAACTTGAGGGCCGAGACTTAAGGTCTCCCCTGAGCGATCGTACCCTTCGGGGCCGGTCTCCGACGTTTTCCACCTTTGGGCACCCCCAAGCATGAAGGTCTAGAACCGCCTATGGGGATGATCCCACCTTCATGGCTCTCAAATAACAAATTGCGCTTTCTGTTCGTATTGGGAGGTTGATTACAGGGGAGGCACTGATTTCCTTCCTGGTGGATCTTGTTGCCAGGAAAATTGTGAGCCAGTCCATCCCTAGATCATGCAGAAGTTGTTTGTTGAATTTCAACCTGCATTCGGCATATTGGACCCTCAAGGTACGAGGGGGCCAAAGGCCATACAGGACAAATGAGGGGCTTGGAGGACAAGGCACATAAGTGCAGTTTTTGAAATAATTGTGTTATTAATGATTTTAAGTGAAACTAGTTTTAATGTATATTCTTTGAAATATTCGCTCCTAAATTCAAATTTTCAAGCATCAGAAAGTCAGTTTGAACTTTCTTTCCACCCTTAGGATCAATGTACCTAATTTTGAAACTTTAACCATGTATTTCTTGAAATAACTGCACTAATGCACCTTGTCCTTCAAGCCCCTTAAATGTCCTATGTTTATTTTTGTGTTTTATACTGACCAAGGAAGCAACAGAGTAACATAGATCCATTTTTTGCCTCATTTTCAGCCACATCAAAGAAATGTTTTTATGCCACGAATGCTTGGATCTTTCTTGAGAGATGAGCGTGTATCTGGTGTTGATAATCCATACATTATCAAGGTACGTAAAGTAATTTTTTCACCCAAAATGTTAACAAGATAGAAAAGACTTAAATAAAAGGTATTCCATCTACAATGTAATACAATTTAAAGAAATGGTGTTAAGCACCGATTTCATCATCTCCTGTACAAAGGGTCTGCTTACATAATTAACGACGAAATAACCGGATAAGTAAGAACAAAAAACATCTTTTTTCTGGTCAAAAAAGAATGATGCATTTTGTCGCGAAAACTGAACGCATTGCTGAAAATTGCAGAGACCTAGAGCAATTTGCATGCTGTAACTACAACACTGGTATTTATCAGAATTAATCCTGTGATAAAAGGCAATAGCTGAGGATTTCATTGATCTGCTCCTAGCTTATGTTAGAAACTCATCCTCTCTTAGTTGAGTTTTGTCTCGAGGCTCTCTTAGTTCAGTTTTGGCAAGGAAGAGCCGTATTTTATTCAACGCAACAACTCGGGACATCTTGTAACAATCGTATTTTGTTCGGATGTTCTTTATGTTAAGGGGCGTGGCCTATTTTTATTCATTTATTTTTTGCACAATTCGACGTTTTCTCATCATTGTTTCGAAACAATTGGAACGTCCTCGGAGCTTGTTACGACTATTGTGTGCATTTGTTAACAGGGCTTCCAACCTCACTTCTAGCTGCTTTGCTCTCATTAGTTGTGAAAAAGTGATGCAAATAACACAAAATCCATAACAGAAAACAATTGTTGCGTCCAACATAATATGTCTAAGCATTGTCCCTCCTGGTATTTGATGTTACCACAAGAGTCACCTCACATCCTAGCCAAATGAGAACAGCTCATGGCTAAGTCCAGTTGTTGTGTTATTTTTGTAATTAATGTATTGAGAAAATAAAGAACTAGGTAATTGAATTGAATGTTTTTGACTTGTGATTCTAATGAAAAAATGGGAAAAGGGCAAATATTATAGGTGTCTGTTGAGGAAGACAGACACCAAATTTCGGGAAATTGTGCAAGCTTAAGTTGCACTTAAAATGTGGTCACTGCAATTGAGACCTACGACAGTACCTTAGTCTTTAGCAATTCTGAAGTATAGAAACACAGTTGAACTGATGTTTGTCTTAAGGGCTCAATTGCCAAAATTTTGGGATAAACAGGAAAAACTGTGCCATGCAGCGTCTGCTCAATTTTAAGAGCCCGAAAAAATATTCATTTTTTTTTGTTTTTTACATATTGAAAGGATACCTATCTAAACTGAGCTTAATTGATTGAACGGTTGCTGAGCAGCACACTTTTTTCTGTATTTCTTGAAACTTGGATTTTGGTGCTTGGGCTTTCACAAAAAAACCGATTCAATTCTTGAAGTACCATATTTGATAATTGGTTTTTCACTCATCAACCAGCTGACATCTCTTTGAAGTGGACCATTTTTTCCATCAGCATTAATTTTCAATTGTAGTTTCAATTATAGATCCTGTCGATTTCTACAGATCAATTATATTACTAACATTTTTGCAAAAATTCAACTGACTGATGTTTTTTTATTATTTCAGGACTTAAACGCCCTCCCTGATGAGCCAGTCCAACAAGCGAAGAAATAATGGAAACTCTGCTCTCTAGTTTTAGTTGCTCTACCTTTAGTATATATGTTTTTTTTTTTTGGTAAATAAAACGTTTTCCCTGTTTCTAGTTTTTAACGTCTTCTTTTCTTCGATAAATATCTGCATGGTGAAATTAGGTGATTGTTACAACAGTTACATCCTACTTGCCTCTGATTGCTTCTAATTTTTAGTATGATGTTGGATTACAATAAAGAGCCTCCCTTTTTAATTGAAATTTCTAGTCCCGAAATATGTTTTCCATGGTATGGCATTGTTGCCAAGTTGCCAACTTAAAACTTTGTTAGCTTTTGAACCAGTAAAGTTCTTGACATGCAATTTACGTTAAAAATTGTAAATAATCTTCATATAATGTACAATTTTTGACAGTGCATCACTTTTCTTGAATTTTTTATTTTTCGAAATCACTTTTTTGTAACAGTCACTCAAGTGATTTTGCATCCATCAACATATTTACTTTTCAGGCATTCAATTTGATCAGGTTAATTTGTTTTTAAAAATGCTTTCGAGCAATTTTATGCATGTTTTTTGATGCAGGGCATTAATTTTAAACCAGCACATTTGTCTGGGGAGTTTTGCCGCAAAGATTGAGATCACTTTCACAAAAAGGTATTTTTCAGTCTTGAATGATCTGCCCAATGGTTCATCTTTAATTATTTCAGATATTTATGGAGTATTTTGCATAACCTGATTCATAGCTTTTGGTCGGTCCCATCAAATGTCACGCACCATTCAGATGAAAATTTAAGAAGGATCAAATTTTCATGGTGGCAACCTGTCAACGCTGCCATACTGTGAAAACACTTTTTGGACTCGAAATTTCCAAAAATGGGGCTCTTCAAAATAGCAGAACATAATTAAATACTGAAAATTGGAAATAATCAGAGTCACGGGAAATTGGTTAGTTATGTTTGCATCGTGACTTATTTATTTACTTTTTCGCCCCATGTAAATATCTCAGTTGTCAAACTAAAGACTAGCCGAAATGGCCATAGTGATAGTCTAAAGTTTGACAACCAAGATAATTACATCAAGCAAAAAAGTAAGTAAGTGTCAAATAGTTATTTTTGAATAGGTAAGCCTCTTTAGAATGGGACTGAAAAGAAGGTTTGCTTGATGAAATAGAAAATTGACTGGTATGATGAAAATTTAATAAAATGTCATTGAATAACACAAACAAAAAATTCAGGCAACAAGAGAGAATTTTTTAAAAAATACAAGTCATGCTGTGGGAGAGAAAAATAGAACAAATATGTAATTTTTAACTTCCTTCATAAAGTGGCTGTAACATAGCTGACGTTTTAAAATACCAAACGAAACCTTAAAATATGCTACTGAGACACTTGTCATATAAGAAAAAATATTTTCCTGGTTTTCTGCTTTTGATTCAAATTGATTTGATAACAGCTTTCACCGAAAGCTCCAGATTAACTATAATAAAAATGATCTAATTACATTCCTTCAATTTAAGACATTTCTTATTCAACAGCTCCGCTTTGTCAAAAATTAGGTAAGCAATTATTTCTCACAACAAACAAGTTTTAATAGTTGAATACACAGTCTGAGTTTTTAAAACACAACAGAAGGAAGAATTTGCCAGCTGCATCAATACTTTTTCATCACAAAACATACTTAATATGAACCTTGTCTGAAAGATATCACTGTTCTAAAATTAGAGGACTAGAACTCGTCATAATTATTACCTTAGACGCCCATGAGTGGCCCACACCTTGATTTTAAGCCNCTTGGGGGGGGGGGGGGCACTAGTGCATTTAACATTGGCTTGAAACATTTTAAGGCATGTGAAGTTAAAAAATTGGTGCAGATCACTAACAGGCACCTGTGGTATTAGCCTTAAATATTATTGGGGCAGATTCAGTCTCATTTCATTCAGTTCAAGTTCTTGGAACCAAACGAACCTACCTACATGAAGATTACAAATGGAATCAGTAGTTTTTTAACTGTTGATATATTGGAGTTTATCTACGCATCTTCTGAAATGAGGTAAAATTTTACTTATAGGTAAAATTAGTTCATAGTTTTGTTTCAAGTCCAACTTGTTATCTTAAAGATTTTATATTTATTTTCATGGGTTTGCATATTTTAATTAAAAAACAATTCAATTTTCTTACACAGCTGATGAAATCGGTTCTCCAACTCACAAAGTATCTTTAATTACGTTTTTAATTTCGGAAAGTTTTATTTAAACATCCTACAGTCTTCTATTGTCCCAAGCCAAATCCCTGGTCAGTGCACACTCAGAGCACTTTCGAATAGTGTGCCATAAATCTAAAATGTAACAATCAGTCACTTAAAAATTTTCGACTTAGTGGCACCAAAAGTGCATTGGGCTCTCACATGTATAATAGCAAAACACACCCAATCACAATGGTTCAGTCCAACCTGCCTGATAAGACTATAAGACGGAATTCCAGAACTACACAACAATGATATTTACCTTCTTAGGTACTCAGCAGTCAGGCTGATACCAATAACGATAAACTCAACTTAACATGAAAAAACATGCTCACGAATCAATCACAGCTGCACCATGTTTCTCTCGTTCAATCACTGAGATTATTAATAAAAAATCATCCTATTGCAATGATTCAGTTTCTGAGATAGTGCTTTCATATCTACTTATGGGGAGAGATAAATGTTTCATAGTCAGCAAGAATTAACAATTACTCTTTGATTAAGTTTTAATTTTTTTTCCTGTACTTGCGAAGGACTGAACTAAACGTGTGTTGTGATGACAACTCAAAGTTTACACTCTTTCTTAAGTACAGAAAACATAAGACGAATGTTAGCTGATGGTACAAACTCAGAGATAGAGATGTGCTGGTTTTCATACAACTGAAAATAATCAACTATAGCATTTGTTGAGAGAATTTCTAATTGCTTGAGAGAGAAGGCACAAAAGGCTACACCGTCATTATTATCCATCTTTTAACTTCAAAAAAATGAAAGAAATGAGGGCTTTAAAGGCATTGGTTGACTAATACTGCTATGATCAGCTCAACATAGAGACATCTGATTTTTTCTCTCTCAGGGAGGTTACAAGGACGACAAAAGAAAGTCTATGTTGTAAAAGTTAATATCTGAGGCCTTGTCTCCACAGGCAGTCATCAGAGGACACAGTGCAAAATAGCATGAGAGAAACTTTGGCGATTTTTTGCGGTTACCATTTCCACAAGGCAGGGCCCTCTTGTCCTTGAGACATAAGCACAAGTAACAATCAAACAAAATATGTAGATACAGGATGAAATTTAACGATTATTAATGCTGACCAAATGTAAACAAAAACGATCAGTGAACAACAAAATGCCGCACAATTAGCTATCACTTCTTTTTTTTCTCAGTTACTCTAAGGACAGCAATTAATAGTTATTAAGTCAATATTTGTCGCTATGACTTTTTTTGCAGCAACAAATTACACAGGTTAACATGCCGTGGTAACAAGACCTCAGAGAGGTACATAGAAAATCCAACAGTTGGAGGTATTGATATCGAATGAAAATTCCAATTATGCAGAGATAACTTAAACAGTAATGATTTCCTTCTCCTCTGTTCGTTCTTTATTTTAACTACTTATTCCTCCCCTTCTTCCCCCTAACAAACAATGAATGAAAAATAGAGAGATTGCCAGTAATTTGAAAATTAGGTTGCATATTACTACTGCAAAAAATTATCCCATGTGAAAAGAATATATATATATATATATATATATATATAAAAAGAAAAAGGTATGAGCTTGAAGTTTTGTGATGGATAGTGACTTAGATTAAGGAACTTTCCCAACAAATACACAAAAGGTATGTTCGACAATTAACAAAGTTGTGTACCTACCTTTCGCCCGAGGGGATACACCTTAAACTTCTAGACTAAAATTCACCTACTTGGTTTATAAATGTAAGAAACAGATATTTACATCCGATATCCACTTCAATGTGACTTAGAAGTTCTACAGTATAAAATTGTTCAAGGCATAAAGAAGAACAAACTAGCTTATCCTATTCATATTAAAATGTTAGAAAATACGTTAGTAAAAAGGAAAAAAATTACTTGTATCAAATCTGCAAAGGCACACAGCTATTTAGGAAGGCACTTTTTGTTGGATTTCTCTATAGAGACTTATACATGAAGAGTTATCTAAGTTTCAGACTAGGTAGTAGTACCTAAAATTCAGAATAAAAGTAGCAAAAATAATAGAAAACAACTTTTCCATACGGGAGTGAAGACTGAAACTAAAGGAGTCAAGTGATCATAAAAGAAAGCTAAACATCCAATGTTAAACACAATAATGGAACCACATATTCTTTTTGGTTCATAATATCCTCCATTGAGTGGGTGTTCTTTATCCTCCCATGATCCTTATCAATCCCTTTCACACTCAAGTGCATGTACCTGAAGTATTTAAATTGAAACCCAATATAACGTAAAGAAAAGTAGAAACGATTCTTGAATAAACCTTCAGAAGAAAGCTTAATAAATTCATAAGGTAGAGCCGCAAGACTAGCAGCTGATATTTATGACTGTTCATGATAATAATAGATACTCTTAAAATTCTAATAGTGGGTTTTAAAATTATCTCATTTTCTCTGAGCTTACGCTTCAAGCATGTAGAAACAATAATATGGAAAAAAGAGAACAATTTAAAAACTCAAGCGCCCATGCACTCAAATTCCAGACCTCTCTCTCATTAAGGACTGAGGTAAATTTGTGAGAGTTGAGACTCAGATAAAGACTAAAATTAATATTCTTTCTTTTTTCACTTTTCCTCATTTTACTCATATTTAAACATTTTTTTAAAAAAATGTTTTAAAAGTTTCAATAAAGATAGGAAGATTTAGCACTCTGTTTCTCTTCATGAAGAAATTTTAAGCATTCTGTTCTGTTCTCTAGCAGTTAGAGTGAAAAATAAAAGGGAAAAAAAAAATGCGCTTTGCTTCTTTGGCAAGCACAAAAAAACTAGGATTTGTTGCCTTCAAAATGGATAACCTCGAACCATACATTCTACTAAAACATGAGTCAAATGAGTCAGTTGAGTCATACTTTTTTACCGTGTCTTTCAAAAGTATTAAGCGAACTAAGCTTACTGTTTACTCCGGATGTTTTTCGATAACAGTAACCGGAAAAAGAGTTCACGCAAAAAGGCCATAAAACAGGGTGACTGAAAATAGGGTTTGAACTGTGTGCTCATTACTTTTGAATCACATCTCGATCAATATGACAACAGAATCTGTAGCAGAAGAATGAGCGGAAGCATCATTGCGTCATTATGTGTTGTTGATTAGCCAGAGGTTAAAGGCTAGGCCGTGCGATTTTGACAAGTTCAGCTGACATGTAACGAACTTATAGGATTTTCCCATTGCTGCATTCGCAAAGATCCTTTCTTTCAGAATGCTCTATCGTTACTGCAACACCACAGAACTGACCTAACTTTTAACAATACTTCAACAACCATTCAAACAGCAGCAAGGTTGTACTTGGAAAGAAAGCGTTGCTGTAACCATTTCCCCACCTATGATGCGTAAGTTCAAATTTAGATGGCAGTAACATAGGACGGCTCAACCATGTTTCAGAGGAACATGCAAAAAGAATCATTACATCTGAGAGCAGGGATGATTTTTCAAGCAATTTTACCATGCACATCCGTTTTACTCAAGCTAAAAACTGTGGAAATCGACTATTTGCAGGCCAATTCCTCCTCAGCTCAACTGACTCATTAGAAGGTAAAAGTACAAACTAAAATTAGGAACTCAGAACTGTATACGATACTTATTTGGTGTAGGAAGAGATCGAACTCCCTCATCATTAAGATTAGTTTTAGGAGAACTATGTTGCAATGAGCCTCTTCTGTTCTTCATTGCATTGGTCGGAGAAAAGATCGGGAGTTTTGAGTCGTTGTTGGGGCTATGCTTCACATCTGAACGAGAAGCAAAGCATCCATAGTCGGACAGTTTCCTTGGTGGAGGAATGAAACACCTAACAGGTGAGTCACGTGCTTTCATGTTTGAAACCTCGCTTGGACTTGAATTGACTGATGACTTTCGTGAGTCACTGAATCGATTATAATCACCCAACTTAACAATCAATGATCTTCCAGGTGAGTCTCGGGGTTTGATTACTCCAGCATTCTCATCATTGAATGTTTTTCGGTCTGAATACTGGTAAGATGGGTATTTACGAGCAGGAGACTCACGGTTGGATGAACTCGAGTGATCACAAGTTGTATCAGCACTGGAGTTGGCAGATGTTTTGCGACTTCTGTCACTCAATCTATTAAACTCTTGGAGCTTTTTGGATGATATTTGAGAATTGACTTCTACGTTTGACTCCATGCTAGATGTTTTATTGCTTAATCTACCATATTCTCCTAGTTTACGAGGAGATTCTCTTGATTTCAAATCAGTACTATCACTGCTGAGTTTCCGCACACTGCTTTCACTGTCGCTCAATCGACCATACTCACCGAGACGACCACCTCCAGCATTACGATGTCGTCGTGGTCGCGGTAGCGAAGACGGAGGCAAACTACTGCCTCGAGTTTGTTCGGGCTGACGCTGCTGTTGTGAGCAGAGTCCTTGCTTTTCAAGGAGAACCATGTCATCTTCGCGGTTACTTCCACCACTGACTAGACCTTTTAGAAAACCACCAGCTTCAAACAAAGGTAAACTGCTTGGGCCTACACCTGATAATAGTGGTTGGGATATTTTTCCTTTTCGCGACGAAGTGCCTGGATGAGAGAAGCCTGGAAAACAGCAAAGACCTCTCTGAAAAACATTCCAAAAAAAGAACCTGTACGTGAGGACCCCGGCGGATGAAGATTAGTTGGGGGTTAGTTCTCACGACAAATTCAAACTCAATAAGTACCTACTAACTGGACATGCAAAATTATGAAATATGGATCAAAAAAAAATTCTGTGATTAGGGAGCAGAGGACTATCGAAGTAAGAAACAACCACAAAATTATCTCCAAAAACAAAATCCTCAGTTGGTGTCCACAGACTATATAAAAAATATTTCTGGTTCATGACTGAGAATTTTTCCAAAGATGTAGGAGCAATTATCTTTTCTATCAAAATTGACTTTGGAATTCTCAGTTTCCTGGTTAAAGAGAATAGTTCTGTAAAATGTTTGTTCTGGTGTCTCAATTATGTCATTACAAAATGTGTTGTGACAATTAAAAAACTTTTAAACAGACAAAAACTTCCACTCTCCCAAATAAAATACCCAAAATTTTGAATTTCGTTTCTTTTCACCCATTTGTATAGGTTTTCAGCTCTGTAGACACCCTGACTCAGTGAGCTATTTACCACAAATAAAATTTGAAACAAAAATTTAAACAGTAAGCAAAACCTGTGAATTATGAGTAAAGATGTGGAATGCATTTCAAAATTTAGTTACACACGGTTACAAACTTTTTAAAGACTCAATATTAGTACACTCAAGGAATCAGGATTTCAAATTTTTGTTCAGGTATGCAAAACTTCAGGTTTCTCAGGAGAAATCTGACATCAATGTGAAGAAAATCAAGAGCTCGCTTCAAAGTTTTTACAATATTTTGAGAGTCAAGAAAGATAAATATTGCTTAAAATATTTTTAGAGTTTTTTCCCTCCTTTTTAAGCACTTTCATTAGTTTATTAATACTTTTCTCATTTTTGTGAGTTAAAAGTAATATAAAAATTGAAAAATAGATAAAAGAAATGTAAAAGAAAAAATGTAGAATCCACGATATAGAGGGACTGGGACCTCTTGAAAAAACCATTACTAGGGGGAAGGCTGTTTTGGAGAAAGGCTACTTATTAATAATAGGCAATCTGACACACCCCTACTTTAAATCAAATTATCAGGGACATAAAAAAGAGAGATGGAGTTAGAACAATCAAGCTTCAAAATGCGACAAAAATCAAATACAAAATAGATGACAGACATAAAATTTAAACTGACCCATTCAAAGCTTGACAAGAATTTCTTTAGCTCATCATACCTTATTTTTCCGAAATCCAAAGACAAGAGGCGTAAGACCTCAGACCTTTTTTATACTTGAAGACGCTGAAAGTATTTCTTATTATTGCTACTGACAAATACAATAGGATGCAAGAGAAGTCATTGAGCAAAGACAAGGGAACTCCAAAAAAATTTTATAAATATATAGATAGTTCTTATTTCCATGTGAGACAACAATTTATATAATATTACAATTAAAATTTTCTGGAGTTAAATGTTTGTTTTTTCGCCACTTCAAGAGCCAGAAAAAGTCCATACTCTATATTGCACTAGGAGCAAACTTCAGGAAACTTTAACTCTGCCTGGGAAGATGTTGAAATCTGAATAAATCCTTCATCCTTATCTATCAGTCTGTCACAACTTAAAAATTGGAAAAATTGACCAAAATAATTTATTTCAGATATGATTCATTAAGACATAAAATTGTCTCAATTTCTTTGTCAGATATCGAAGGGAGTTATGTAATTTTCAATCGAACCGAGGTCTGGGAAACTTAGCAAGATACTAGCCATGGAGGGTGCACTTTACACAGCTAGCGATCCGACATTACTCCCTGGGCCTTCATTACTCCCTCAGAGAGTGATGGTGGCGACTACATGCCACATTTTTTGCATCCACATCATTATCAAAAAGTTTGAGAAGATTTCGGAAACTTCTGGGGAACTAGTGATAAAGAACCCTCTAGAATATTTGATGACCATGACATTTGATTCATTCCAATTGTTTCAGATAGTTTGATAGTGGTAAAAAATTTGATATTTACTGAAGAGCCCTTTTACACAGCAGAAAAGCTGCACTGGCAAGGTTGCCTATGTCCGAGGTCCTAAAAGATGGAATGGGTAAAGATACCAAATACCCACACCTACCAGGCAAGGGGCGTATGGTGAGACCAGTATCATATTAAAAATAAGGCTGAGGTTTTAAGTTTATTATAAGATGACAGAAACCCATGAATCGAGCCGATTATTTTCCAAATCACAAAAGCTCCAAAATTGCAAATGTAAGAAAAGCAAAAAAAACCGTTTTATTTGCTTTGTTGACAATCTTCAAAAATGTATGTTCCTTTTGAAGGCTATTTTGGAATCAGACACGATTGATTATACCAGAGAAAACAAAGAAAAAACGACCCCTCTACCACCAAAGTAGAGATTGGCGCTTACGCATTTGGAAAATAATCTGTTCAATTGAGAGATCAAGTGAAGAGAGGATAGAGGGAGAAAAAAAGCTTAAAAACATACAAACCAACTTAGAAAGATTACCTTGCTAAGAATCTGGGAGTCAAGTTCTTTCAGTTGATCATCAACTGACTTGAAGTCAAAACTCTGATTTGCTGAAGAGTATTTATCCCTTCGATGATGGAAGGCACTATCAACGCTTCCTGTGTAAGAAGTGCTTGAATCAAAACCAGTTGAACTTGTCAGAACACTGGAGACTGTTGAGAATACTCCGGTAGAAACGGGACCTGAAATGTTACGCTTATTTAATTAATTTTGTACAATCTAAAAATATTCTCAATTCTGAAAGAAAAAGTAATACTTTTTCATTGCAATTAAATGGTGGAGGAAAGGGTTGAGAGACTTTATTAGAGAGCAGAGACTCACACAATACTGATTTTGAGCAGAAATTTGCACACCATCTCAAAGTGCATTAAATAAACCGATTGCAAGATAAAAGTGAAAGCACTTAAAATGAGGGGAAAATGTGGAGGCAGAAGGCATCCAGGATTTTGTTTTAAGTTTAAATACGAATTTTTACTTTGTAATTGGTATGAATGCGCTTTTTAGTAGGACCGTTAAAAACATTATTTTTTGAGAAAGAAACTCTTGAATACCTTACTTTCTACAAAGAAAACTGTGTGACATATCTTTTGTGCAAAGAAAATAGTGACGTTCAAAACAAAGGTTGCCTTAAAAAATGTAAAAGCAGAGAAGTTTCTGTACCCCTGGCACCGTCAGTTTGAATTTTCCACTATAAAACTCCATGAAATCTTTCAAATTTAAAAAATTTTTCCTAGGAATCTAAAAAAATACCATTTGATCCGTATCTCTGCTTTACCCTTCAAACCTATGTCTAGACTGACCCAGGACATAGTCTAACATCAGTCAATAGCTACCATGTTCTCTGTTTGAGTTCATCCATTTGTTTTTTTATTTTAATGGACATTCTCTTTCGGCACTTGTATACAATGTAATCAGAAACGGTCGGGCATATGTATATATTTTCCAACTTTCTGTATTTTCTCTACTTCTTTGGCCTCGAGTCCCTCATTTGACTTTTTCCATCATTTCAATTTTAAATTCACTTTTGATTGAGGAAACAAGGACTAACCCAGATCATCAGCTGTTAGAACATTGGACAAATCAGAAGTATTTAGACTCGAGTGCTGAGTGTGATGACTCAATGAGATGCTGGGGTAGGAGCCAGAAACAACTTCTTTGTCAATTGTGTGTTTCTTCTGTAAGACGCGGATCATGGCATCTCTTTCAGCTAACTTAGATTCTAGTTCCTTCATTCTGAAAACCAAACAAATGATCAATTAACATGAGCTAGTTAAATTACCCTTTAAAAAAGAAAGAGATAAAATGACATAGAGAAACTGTTGAAAATCTGGAAACTAAATAATGTTACAGGAATTGATGCTTAATGATGATGTCGCATACAGCAGTGAGAAAATTAAGAATTTCTGAAGTAATTTTGCTGGCTATTCAATAAAAATAATACTGCGATTACTTCCACAATTTTTCATGCTAAGGATTTCTGATTTGGGCACCTAACCGTGAGTGAGGCTATACTGTAAGGCAAAAATTAGATGGCTAGAACCTCAATAGTGTCAATAAGTTCTCTCTGAATTCCCAGTGAGATTTTGCTATCAGCTTTGGAAGTAAAAAGGTAGCTTATAAAATACATTTTACACAGGAAAAATTGTTTTCAAAGAAGCATAAGTGTTCATACCTTGATTCAAGTTCTGTGACTTTTTTCTGAGCAGCATGCACCTCATCCATCTGCCTAATTTTGTCAGACCTAGCTTCTGCAATCAACTTCTCACTTTCTTGACTAGTTTTTTCCAATGCTGCTATCTTGGCATCTCTGAAAAACAGAAAACAATTCCACTGACTTGTAACTTAAATGAAAATGAGAGTGAAATATGCTTGGTACAAAAAGCAAGACAACATTATTCCAATCATTACTACAGTTAATAGTAGAAAGTTAGACAAAGACACAGATAGATTTGTCAATGAGATTTCTCATACAGTCAAGAGTATACTTGAAAACTTAAAATTTTATTCACTTTGCAATTTAATTTAACAATTGATTTAGAGACCCCTCAGGATTGCACATAGTTCTCAAGCATACTTACAACCGGGTAATTGCAGTTAGGTTAATTGAAAAAATATAAAAGCTGCCTAAAAGCTGAATGTATTTTTTCTGTCAGGGGGGAAAATGCTTGACTCCTGGTTGCGAATACAACAGATTTGACCAGAGGTGATGAAACCAGCCCTTAGAAGAAGAAAAATTACACCTAGATTCAGAAAAAATTTCTCTCCAAGTCCATTTGGTAAATTCATATAATAAAAGCGCTCATGGCTGCACTTTGTTTGTTCTATAGTTGGCATACAATCTATGCAACCACCTCAAAATATTTTCTGATGGGGAGACTCAGACATTCGCAAGGACAAAATACTTTTACTCACACTGAAGCTATTTGAAGGGCTATTTTCCATTCACTTTTCTGGTATGATGCAGGCCTGCAGTAAAACTAAAAGTACATTTGGATTGCATTTTGCAAAACAGAATCAAGAGCATTTCAATGTTGCAATGGATTGTGCAACATACATTCTTCGCAGTAAAATTACTGAAATCTTGCAAAAAATTAAATTTACGAAGGTAACTTTCATCTTGAATTTATAGTTTATTGGGAGTAGGGACAAAACTTGTTTACATGATCAGTTAACATTTGCGACGTAAACAAAGTTGCACAATCTTAATGATATTGTAATGTTATTGGTTCCTTTTTGCAAAATGCAATAAGTAGTTGTAACATGATGACTCACTTGGGAATACTGGCTGCATCAATGGCAGCTTGTCTTAGCTCACTCTCCTCTAAATAGCGCTGTTCCCACTTTGAGACCTCTCCCTCAAGCCTCATGATTTTTTCATCTTTTTCCCGGAGTCGCCGTTTCAATTCTGGCAAGCTTTCCCCAGGTTCGAACTCAACACCTGATGATAAAAAAAAAGAATTATAAAACAATTGGCACGGAGAAAAAAGGAAGTCAGAATTCCTTCGCTGTCTAAAGCAATTTTGAGACAGTTCAGCCTACAAGTTGTATGTCTCTCTATTAGCTTGATCAATGATTACAAACCTGTGTGATTATTTCTAAATGAGGGTCATTGAGAACAGGTAGAAACGCTGCAGGAAGGGTATGATTTCCCTGAGCGCAAATGCTGAGATTGTGGTGATGGAAGAGTTAAAACTATGTTTGAAATCAAATAAATTATCAGGCTTGAAAACGCAGCAAAATTTTAAATATGTTCTACTGAATTTTTTTTGCAGACAAAGTATTTTTCAAAAAATATGACTAAATGGTCATTGCTGTAATTTTTTATACTGCTAAGCAGTTCATGGTTAACATTGATTAGACAAATTACACATCAGATCAACAAATTACACATCAGATCAACAAATTACACATTTTTATAAGGGTACTATCTTTCAATACATTTTCAAGAAGGTAAGCTAAATAGATAATCACCCAGTCCAGATGTATTTTGAGTGTTCCTTGCTCTTTCATTTCTAAGTTCTTGCTCAAGCTGCAGCCTCAGTTTTCGTTCAGTTTGTTCTCTTCGATCACTTGCTAACTGAAGAGATGAGAGAGCACGCTGAAGTTGAGCAACTCTTTCTACATGGATTTGTTTCTTGCGACACTAGAAGAGACAAAAAATGTTTAAAAGATGGGTAATAAGGTAACATCAACTCTTAGAAATTTAGATGCTTGACTCTTCAAAGAGAGCACGGCCAAAGCACTAGTGCAAAGCTGAGGAACTCTTGAAGATGACAAGGTAAAATAATTCCTGGGGGTTACTTTTATCATTTTTTGTGAGAGTAAATTCTGGAAGGGCAAAAAGTTACTTTCCAACACGATATTTTTTTTTTTAGTACCACTTTCTCTAAAAGAATCCTTTTCATGTTATAATGTTATACCATTTTAAATGTTGGTGGAATTAATTCAAAATTCGCTTGTTAACTGCAACTTTAAAAATCATTTGCTGGCATGGTCCCCTGTTTACTCCTAAGGAGAGGCGGGGAGAGGGGGAGGAAGTTTTGAGACTGCAAAATTTGAATTTCATGTGGTTGTTTTCTTTGAAGTTCCCCTGGTCTATGAGATCAAGTGAATACAATGAACCGCAAGTAAAAATGTTCGACATTTTAGTTCTTACTTCTTCTTCCAATCGAACAACGTTTCCTTGCGCATTTGTCAGGGCTGTGTCCAGGATGTCAATGTGGGTTCGCTGTTCTTCTAGAGTTGCTCGTTGAGCTGCAAGTTCAATTTCTTGTCTCTCTTTGGCTGCTCCAAGTTCTTTGTCTAAAAAATTGAATGAAAAACCAAAATGAACGGTTAGTCAGGAATAAAGATTGTATTTTGGGAAAAATTACTGTCGAAGTAACAATAACTGTTTACATTGAAGGGATTATTGAGAAAAAAGAGGAGATTTGCAGCTTTGCAAAAACAGGATTTTCAACTTCTGACATTGATGTATAAAAGAAAAATACACTGACAGAAAAACAGATTAGGAGAGAGAAAAATCATGGAAATTAATTTGTGCAAAGAAGATTTGAACCCTTTGCTGCACAAAGCAACCACAGGTGACTGGAAACACCACTAATCAGTGCGCTACGGTCACTGATAAGGTTCTAAGGCGTTAAATAAAATAGTTAGGGTCCAGTTAGTGGATGCATGCATTTATTACACATTTTAAAATTTGTTGTTGGTGTCCGGAAGGCCATTAGCAAACCTGGTTGGCCCCTGCTAACGAATTACCCAAGGATTATCTCAGGAAAAATATGGGCCAAAAACTCAGGGGACACTTGGAACCCTGTTCTGATCAGAGCAACTTAAAAGAAAGATTTAAGGGAGTAGATAAACAAGATGATAACTTACTTTGCGCAATTAGCTGAGCAATTATGGCTTCTCTTTTGGTAATTTCAGACACATCTACAAACTGAGAGGAATGAGCATGAGAACTGAGTACTTCAGCTTGTTCTCTCAGTGCTCGATTGGCATCCTGTAAACGCCTAACTTCAGCTTGGAGTCTAGTTCGAGCTGCACGCTCAAGCTTCTCTCTCCTTTCACAGGAGGCGACTAGTTCTTCATGTCCTCGGTGCACCTTTGCAATCTCTTCTTCAAGCTAAAAAAAACGATCCAGTCAATTTTATTGAGATAAAAGCCACCACACTTCATTTAAAATTGTATTAGCTGTAAACATGCTCTGGTGGAGTGAAAGGGCTACTCTGTATTGGAAGGGAAGAATGGCTTCATCAAAATTGACAGTTACAGTTCAATGGCAAACACTATCTCATGAGTAAATTTTTTAACCATGACGAACAATTAAAATTTATTAAAGCGTATTTATCAGGTAAAACTGAAGTAATTAATGACTGAGAAGATGTAGGGCTGCAAAAAGAAGACTTAAAAAAAAAAAAGGAAAGGCCACTTCGCATCAGAGAAAAAAATTGGATGATTTTTTCTTTAAAAAAAAAAATCCAGCAACATTATTAAAAAGAGAATTACCTAATGAATCTCTCAAATTTTTTGTTTAGGAATTTCTGGAGTTGTATTTTTTGAACAATTTCATTTGTTATATGAAAATTTATACTATATTACAATATCAATATGTATATCTGACCAAAAATTTTGTTTATCTGTGAAAATGCAGTTTTTTATGAAGTACCCGACATCTATTGATTTTTTTTTATTGTGCAAGCAAGAGACCTGGTCATTGAGAGTTAAGTGAAATAACCTTGCATAGCCGCCAGAAGAGAAACGGTGGAAGTTGTTCAGTGGTTAGACCACAGAGGGCGTGTGGTGCATCTCTGGCCAGGGGTTGACATTCTGAAATGTATGGTATTGCAGAGTGCCTAAGCTTCTAATTAGAACTGACTAGCTATGCCCACCTGATGTGCTCTAACAAAACCAAAACCAGTGATGCAGCTGTGAAAGATTTTTTTTGTCTGCATCTATGACTTCTCGACTGAGTTTCTCACTGGCACAATGAAAAGATGAGTTAAAAAATTGTCCAATTCCATGTAAAAAACTACGTTTCTTATCTATATATGTGTTACGATATTGAAATTAGATCTAGGATATTTTCTTTGAAGCTTTTCTTTCAAACAGATCAGAGAGAGGATATCTTAATAAAATAATTAAATCATTACCTTCAAGGACTTTTTTACTCTTTGGTAACAATGCTCCAGTTCAAGTTTCAGATTATTATTTTCTTGAAGAACAAGGTCAACCATCTGCATACACCGTTGCTCTTTCCTGGAAATTATTTTAAAAAAAATGAATCCCAATGCAAAAGGGCATATTTTCCAGGGTTGCCACAGAGTTCGGAAAATGAAATTCCCTGACATTCCCCAACACATTTTGGTGAAATTCCCTGACAATTAAAGATGTGACAGATGGTTAAGAAGACATAAATGAAAATAGTTTTCAGGCAAAGTTTGTTGTTTGAAACCTCAAACCCACTCTACAAAGCAAATAAAGGTGATTTAACGAATTTTCCCTGACGTTTTCGGTATTTTCTCTGACATTTCCAGGTTTTCCCTGACTTTTAAAAATTCTCTGACATTTCCTGGTATTCTTCGACTGTGGCATCCCCAAAAAGTGGAGAAAAACTAATGTACCTCACACATTTCCTCACCCCTCACTTGAGCTAGGGCTGGCGCGCTCGGACATTTTCTGCATCCCTGGCTGTGAGGACTAACTCCATTCTTTGCTCATAACTGTCGAAAAGCAAATCAAGTATTTTCTCAACACTTTCAAGAAGCAAATCAAATCATTGCTGTGAGGCATAAATGGCAGCTTGGTACAAATAGTGTGTGATCTGAAACTTTCTACAATCCTGAGAGTAACTAAAAAAAATTGATCAAAATGTAAAGAACACAACTTATTGTTAGTAGAAAGAGATTTACATGCTCTATAAAATTAAAAAGCAATTATTATACTTACACTGAGTCACCCATTGTATTTTGAAAGTTATAGTATTGAAGGTTACTCAGACGAGATAAGTCAGGCTGAGATTTGGACAGATGTCGCATCGACATTCGAGATTCATTTCTCCATCCTGTGCTCTTATCTTCCGACCCCTTTACTTCTTTGGCTAAATGCTTTAGGACCTGCATTAAACAAAACAAAAAAAAAATACTAGACAAATTCACAAAAATAGGCACTGATAAATTATTCACAAATTTAAACATAACAGGTCAAATCATTTCTTTAATACAGTTTGAAAATTAGATTGTTGTGCTATCTTTGTAATAATTGAAAAAATTATTTTATACATGCGCTGACTCTGTTTTTTTTCTTCTTTTTTTGATACCACCCAGTTTGTGGTACAGAATAGAGCTAATTATAAATTATTGTTGCTTGCAAAGGGGGACCAAAAAAACCCCTGGAATTTTGCTGTAACTTAGGAACAGTTCAAATTTCTGAGTTCTATCCCTAAAAATGTGAAAAGGAACTATGGTGAGTCGCTGGACTAAATTGCAACAACATAAGAAGTTTTGTTTTGTTTCGGCAAGACTTTACATTCGCAGTGTTTGACGAGTGCGTTGTTTTTTTAAGTCGTTAAACCCTTGTCGAGTTACAGAAAAATTCATTAAAGCATCAGCTAAAATCCTCACCTGGGATTGGCTTAAGTAGTCATCTGGAATATTGTTAATTTCTCTCACGCTTTGAACAGCTACGCATTTCTGTTCCTTCTGCAAGTGATTTTTATAGTTGCTGCTGTTCATACCTTGTACTTTTCGCGTTGGTATCCTGCAATAAAAAACAGAACTAGGTATCAGTGGCAGAAAAAAGGAAGAGGAACATTTTTTGAGCTCCTACTCTTGTAATGCTTTTTACGATTCCTAGACCTCAAGAGTTCATGCTGATTTCATATTATCGAGGCACCAATTAACAATATTTTGTTTTAATACCATCCAATTCATTTTATCCAACTTTTGCTAGGATCAAACTCTAAAGACTCCCACTGCACAAGAACAGGTTGATAATGATCTAAATTTGATGCCCTTAGCCCTAAAATGGCATAAATTTGGTGACCTCTGGTTTAAATCAATTTTATATTCTCTGAGAACAACGGCATTAGCCATTTTACCTGGGTAGTGCAAAAAAACACAGAGATAAGTATCGCGTAAGTATTTTTGCATTGTTATATGGTGATTTATAGAAAGCCAGCGGCAAAAATAAAGTAGGTGCTGCCTCAACTAATTCAGAACAAACGGCTCCACATGTCTAACACATGGGCACATCTTTCTAAGCAAATGTGTGTGAAAATGCTAAAAAATTCACTTTACAGCACAGCTTTTGTCAAAATCAGCACAAAGAAGTTACATGTTTGGAGTCCATCACGTTAAGGAAGTTGTAATAATTTAAGATAATGATTCAATTTAGCCAGCACCCAATTCCTTATTTTTCCCTGCGGGTTTTTGCACTACATAAATTTTGGAGGTAAAAAGTAAATTTCAAGCTTCAATGCAGAGCAAATCTCTTCTGACTCAGTGTTATAAATTAACTATTTTGCAATCAAGAGGTCAATGTATGGTTCTTGATCAGGATGTCTATTGTTTGATGGTCCACAAAATGAGCACCTTAAAGTAGGATAAATAATAGCGATAGGGAGGAAAAAAAAACATGAACATAAGATTAAAATAATAATTGATAAGATTAAAATACTTGAAGGATAGACTAGAAGGTAGACTAATGCTCAGCATCTCAAAAAAAAGGATTGATGGAGAGTTTTACCTAGATTCATCATGTATGATAAGAGTATTGTATGTTGAGTCCTGACTTCCTCGAGTCTCTTGACCTTGCGGCTCCTGGCGGGGCATATTCCGCATTGAGTATCGTTCATCATGGCTTAAATTTTCTGTGGATGTTGACAGGTCTGTTTCACTGTCACTTTGACCTGTGGATAAGCCAGCTGAAGATCAGAAACATTATGGGTTTCAAGAGATAGGAGCCTGATATTGTAACTTTGTCTAAAAAATTTGCTTGACAGATGAGGAGAATATGATGGATTAGAGTAAAATTAGAGTGAACTAGAATAAAAAATGAGTATTTCTATACTTATAGGATAAGCACCGTGGCTGTGATATTAAGTACGTCAAAATCTGGTTTCTAGAATTAAGGTCCTCTGTCTGAATCTTTGTGACCTTTCATGTGGTTTTTGGTGTTAATGAATACTGGCCAGGGAATAAACAACTGCTTATGCTTTTAAAGTTAAAAAATCACAAGGAAGAATGATTAAATGCAAAATTCTCACTGCACACTACACGGAGATCGGTGATAACGTCAGCAGTTTATTTTTGAAGGGAGCTGCCGGCAATTAATTGTACTTTTAAAGTAGCCCGGTAAGACATCAAAATGAGCTATATTACAAGGTTAGGATAGTCTTGTCTTGCTATGCCGAAATAGTTTAAAAAATCAGGCTGCTGTTGATTTTATTATTATATTTATTAATGCTGAGGGCAAAATTATCAAGGACAATATTGCAGCCAATAGATTCAATATTCCTCCCAAGAGAGGACATGAACTACTACACATCTAACCTTACATGCATTTAAGACTTCAAAAAAAACTCACCATCCTGACAGTTTTGATTGTTTGGTGCATAGTTTAAATACCGGGTTGGTTTTGGAATTGAACTCATGCTGACTATTATAATGGTAACACAGAGATTCGTTATGTCGTTCGTTCAAACTAGACTTTTAGGATTATTTTTCGTAAACAGTCTTGAAATAGTTAGAGTCATGCCATCCTTGTACTTCACCTGAGAACAAAAGAAGACAAAAGATTATTTACACTTAAGTACCTATTGAACTTGGACTTGGGTTGAGACATCGCAGATCTGTCATACCATGGAAAATTACAAGGGCTAAAATAACTTATAAAATGCTGAATACGAAAATTGATGTTCTGTCAGAATGTACAACTGAAGACTGGATTTATATCAAATCAAATGTAAAAACCAAATCATACGTGGACCATAGGTTTCTTCACTCAATGCTCATGATAAATTATATGAATAAAAAAAATAAAATGATGGTGAAACAACCAGACCAAGTATCTCGGTTTGCGAGGTTGTAGACTTCCTGCCGTACTTTACTTATTGAATGGAAAACCACTCAACATCAATTCGTGAAAACTTCCGTGTTTTGTCTTCTTTGTGCTGAGAAAACTCCGTGAAAATTTAAATAAATGATATTGATTACTTCTCCTTCAAAAAATTAAAACGGAAGCGGAGATTTTTAAAAACTGCAAACAAGATACGTGGTCTGGTAGTTCCACCGTCGATACATGATGAAAATTAGGCTAGAAACCGGGGGAGAAAACACAGTAAAAAAAAAAGTGAAAACAAGGTGAAGTGCATGAATTCGTTTCTCACAAAGAGGCAAAATGTTTGAGAACCAGATGCTGCAGTTAACTTTTCTTGAATTCACTTCATGTTTGTTAACTTGTTCTTGAAGTTGGAAGAAAAAGTTACATTTTCTTTTATGTATTTTTTTTTTGTACTTAAATTGAGAAAACAGATTGATAACAGTCACTCGACATGCTCGGTTCAAAATACTGGTTTCAGATACCAAAAACCATAACCTACAAAAACTGTAGGTATCTCATCTGACAGAAAATTTATATCAAATGTCGATAAAATAATCCTAGTCCTATGACTGGCTTTAACTCAAAATAAAAACACTTAAATTCCAGTAAAAAAGACAATAGATCATTGACTAAATCTATTACTTGCATGGCTCACTTGATGACCAAGCCCATTAGGGAGGGCATGATGATAAATTTAGATTGATTCCATAGTTTAACAAGGAGACTCAGATTCTGATAATCTATATTGGATAGGCAGGCAACAAACAAAGACCAAGAAATTTTCAAAAGATCTCATTTGCTTGAATTCTTTGGCAATGAGATAACCCAAGTCAGACAAAAGAGGGGTAAGAATGCAACAAGATTCATTCGCCATAAGTAGTCTTCGGCTGATCTTATGAGAGGCTCGTGCGAGACAAACCAGAAATATTTCAACAAGCGAATGGCGAGAGTTTAAAGCGGAGATTAATCAAATTAAAGAAACACCACGTTCGATTGTATCTGTTGATTACTAATAAAAAATGTGGTTGGAATTTCAGTAACTTCCTTGAGGAAGAGACTCAGGATGAGGTTATTGTATCCCCATCAGGACCTATTATGAAGAATAACAACTTCATGGAGAAATACTTACAACGATATTTTAGAAAAATATTCAGGAAATACATTAGGCATGAGGGGATGATGATTGCAAGGTGAAACTCTATTGAAAAATAGAATTTTTGGACGTAATCGGATGCACTTATTACTTATCACATCACATTCATTATCAAAGCAATGTTGTGTTGGTGTGTGTTTGTCTGTGTTGCGTAAAAAACTTCAGAAGTAAATCCATGGGCAACATGAAAATGGAAGTAGCCAATAGAAAATGAGGACTTCATGTTCAGTCTCATGGTGACGTCAGAGTGGCGTAAGTGCTTTCACTGAGCTTTCAGGCTTTCACTCTCCTGTTTTCTTTAACCAAATTTGATCCGACACACGGGAGCTAAAAAGTTACAAACAATGGAGCCAACGGAGCTCGGCAGTCAAAGTCAGCGAGCTCATTCCTCATGAAATCCGTATGTAAAGTTTTCCAAGGGTGGAGAAGTTTATTTTCTGGAAAATTTTCCTCCGAAAGAAGGGAGAGGAAAATCTTCTAAGAGAGATATTACCAGGATATTATGCCATGCAGTAACTTTTCGGTTACCCTGTGGTGTAGCGATTGCTGCGCTCCAAATAGAAGAGTGTTGAAATCAGGAAACTCCCTCCTTTCTTCCTGCTTGCCGATTGTTTTTACTGTGCAATTTTAGCAGCAATTATTTTGTTTTTTCTTGTTACAGTCCTAGGTTTCAATTTTCTCATGTTGATCTTTCCACGTTCTACATGATGAGTCACCCGACGTAATCTGCGAAGTGAGCAGATTTAGAAGAAGTTTTTCAAGTTTTAGCAATTATTGTGTTGTGGTGAAACAGTGACGTTTGAAAGACTCACGATATAATCAATTTTTTATCAGCCAGCTACTTAACCGCCGTTGCTGAACGCAGCATCACTTCTCACTCATTTGACAGTTATTCCGTCCTAAACTACTTGTGCCCCTTAATGGTTTATATTTAAATTTCAAAGATCATGGGTGATGTCAAGTGGAAATATATATTCATTCCAGTCATTGCTGCAATTTTTATCAGTGACAAAACCGAAGGCATTCCCTCCAATTCAGTGCTAATGTCCGATGCTTTACCGAGGAGTGAAGGCATACTTCAAAATCTTTACAGCAGCGAATATCACAAGAGACCTGTCCGAGATGTTGGAAACAGAAATATCACAACCAAGGTAGTAGACAGTTCTTTCTCTCACTGCTGTATTCAGCCTGTAAGCCTAAGCTCCCATTTTTTGCTATCAAAACTGAAATTTTCTGCGAGAGGTTAGGCGAAATCTCTGTTTTCTCACGGAAGTCAAGATACAAGACACTCTCCGATACTTTCATAATTTTCATGAGTTCCTTATTGCCTGTGCTATTACCAGGATACCTGAATAAGGAGTAATGATCTTGTTAGGTTAAGATACCAACAGGAGTTTAGTTTCCGACGAGTCATTCACATTGCATGTGAAGCATCGCAACTGAACCCAACTTCCCTCTAGGTTAACCTATTTTTATATTAAATGTACATCCATCACTCCTATACAAAAAAAAAAAAAAAAATCAGTCTTACCAGGACAAATCAATTCTACACATTATTTTTAGGGGTATTTCCATTATGAAAGATTTTCAGGATTTTTTTCATTTGGAAGTTGCCAACCACCAAATTGGGCATTACTTATAATTTATAGACATTCTAAATACACTTTTTGCTTTGTTTGCCTTGTGCTGGTTTCATAATCCTCGCAAAATCGGTTGGGTTATTTATCTTATATTACCCAGGCCATTATCTTAAGGTGATTCGTCAAGCTCAAAAGAAGTGGTCGAACTGGCATGCGATATATCGCATCTTTTAGGTCAAAAATCTCGGCAGATTTTGAATTTTCAGTAAAGAAAAGGACGATAGCCGCTGCGCATGAGCCTAAAGAATCATTCTAAACCTTAAAATCGGCAAAATTCAGAGAAATGAAAGCAGGTTAGTGTTTGGAGAAAAACCTCGCATTCGATTCAGCTATCGATTTCGGTATCGAATGCGAGGTTTTTTTCCAAACACTATCCTGTTTTCATTTCTCTGAATTTTGCCGATTTTTGGGTTTAGAATGATTCTTCAGGCTCATGCGCAGGGGCTATCGTCCTTTTTTTTGCTGAAAATTCAAAATCTGCCGAGATTTTTGACCTAAGAGATGCGATATATCGCATGCCAGTTCGACCACGTCACTTGAGCTTGACGAATCACCTTAAGAATCCATTGGTTTTCAACTGAATATGCTCCTGGAACAGCTTTGCAAATGGTGGTCCTGTTTTAATTTTTGTACTTAAAACCAAGCTTAGTTCCGATCAAAATTGTCAGTGGAAACTTACTTTAAAGACAGACGAGAAATTTGAGGCAGAATCGTTGGGTACCACTACTTCCTCTTTTATCTCAACTTCCCTGTGGTATTGCATTGAACTGATCCAGGTCTATTTCGTGTACCTTAAACTTTTTCCGGGATTTTCCCTGTAGAAGTTACCTTTTTAACTATCTTCAGATTAAGCATAGGCAGGGTAAGAAAGAAATGAAGGATTGGAAATTTCAGTGAAATATTGCATAAAATATCACGAGGCTGGGAAATATATCATATTTTTCAGGGGCTAGAGTATGCAACCCGCACTCGAACACACAAAAATAGGAGAAAGTCACAATTTTTACATTTGCAAAACATGGAAAGGAACTGGTATTTTTCAATATCTTTCATAAATTTCTGTAATTTCATGAAATATTCCACGTGAAAATTCAAGATTTTATGTTTCATGAAATTTTACCATCCTGAGCAGAGGTGATGAATACCATCCTCATCAGTTAATATGTCTTGAAAATTCCTTTGATGGTGGTCAAAAAAGAGTCACACGAAAGTAGCATATTATCAAATCTCAAGTCTCTGGTTTTAACTACCCTTATGTAACATTGATTATTTGTGCATGCCTAAATCATTAGGGCAGATGTTTACCACTTTAGGAGATCGCTTCATAGATAATTATGTTGAAGTTTCAAAGTCCAGTGATATTGAATCACTTGGGGCATCCAGGTACCTATTCAAGTTAAACATGAAGTTTAAAGGACACTGATTCTTTTGTTTTTCGCCTCTTAATCACCCTGTAGAGGGCAATTTCTAAAGGCTCTAAGTATGTATTGAACTATCAACATACTTTTGGCTCTTTTCATTCATTAATTTTTTTTCCAAGTAGTTATCTACTCTTAAATCATTTACATACCTTCATGGTAATTTTTGCACAAGGAAGGATCCCAAAAACATAGCCTAAGGAGGGGGGGCCCTCTTTATATACATAATTTTATAAAGTACTATTTTAATAATTAAAGTATACAAATTGAAACAAGGAGGTAGGTATGATAAAAAAAAAAAGAGAAAGAATAAATTCAGTCTATCAATCTCACGGAGAACTTGAATGCATTTCACCGCAAAACTTACAGGACTGAGAGCAGAGCTTCATACCCACCTAATCGAATATAACCTGGATTTCTGGCAGTCTGGAAAACCTAGAAAGTTGAGACATTTTCTGAGTGTTGTGTCGGTTCAGCAACTTCAGCTGTTGCCATTCAAGAGAGCACAAACGATCTCCAAATGCCATTTTCCATAATTTAAATCTCTAGAAGTAGAAAATATGTCCAAAGATTAGCAAAAGTTAGCATAATTAAAGAGGGAAAAAATCAACACCATTAGCTTTCGTCAAAGGTCATTTTGAGTCAGGCGAAGAGAAAAAAAGTGTAGGGTAAGTCAGGGAATTGGAAAATAAAGAAATTTTGGAAATCCTAATAACTACTTGTGGTCTGCTCCTGTTTTTAGGTTAGTGCCCTCAATGATAGCCACCAGCAGCTGATGGTTCATTGGGCCGGAGAGGGCTCTGAAGTAATGATTTGTCTTGCGCGAAGTCCTTACTGCGACACACAAAAGAGCTGTAACACTCCATCCGCTGTTTATTTCTCTTATGATTATGGAGATTCATTTGTCAACATGACAGAGCATTTCAAAATCAACAGTCCTGAGGCTGTTTATGCATCTGTAGACAAGCTTTATAAGCATCCAAAATTTAATTCACACGTAAGTACTGAACGCCCACCCTTTGAGAATCTAAAAACTGAAGTATGCAGACACTATGGATGTACTTTGCCAAGTTCTTGTGCTGAAAGGTCTCTAAAGGTCTCTCTCAAACTCTAATTTGAGAAATTGAAGAAGAAATGCAGTTTTTGAGTAAATGTTTAAGTGAAGTGCAAAATTTATTTTAATTTCTCTCATTGAACTAGGTATAGCTGGTCAAAACCTAGCAGTGAATGTTTTCAAACTCTAATTTTTCATGTTCAACCTCATCTGCACTGTCCTAATAATCAGATGTTAGAGCTAATTCCCTCAATTTCAAGTAAAGAGTTTAACTAGAGTTTCCCTAGAAATATCCAAATTTGAGCTGTATTTTTTCTGTTTCTCTCTTGTCTCAGCTGTTGACTCCTAAGCTGGTGTTTAATAAACCTTCTGCCTTGCGTCTAAGTACCAAGCAAGACCTTTCAAAAATGTCCTTGCCAACCGAAATTTTTCAACCTCTATTATTTTATAATTTTTACTAAAGAAGTCTTGGAAATCATTAGATCTTAATTTTAACTTCTCTCCAAAGCTTACAGAGAAAAACAGTTGTTGTTAAGCTTAATGTAACTTTTACCTGACGATCAAGACATGGCAGCATAAGACAGCGCTGAACTACTCCAAACAAATTCCATGCTGCCTTGACGAGAGCCTTCCTCACGAGCTTTTCCAAAGCCATGGCCGTAACATAGTCAAGCATATCTATCTCAGTAGTTATATCTCTAGGAGCGGTTAGTGCACTGAGTGCGATGTGAAAGTCGCTCCGATAAGTTACGAACTATTCAGTGCTGTCGTAGCATAATTTTTTCTATATGTCTTCAGTAAGTAAGTACTTGAATCAGTGCAGTGAAGACTGACAAGTTCAGTGACTTTTACTAGACCTCTTATTCAGCCCAGTTCTCATAGAAGTTCATCATTCTCACTTAACAACATTAGTCAATGGATGGAGTCCAAGCATTTGCCTTGGAGAAGTGGTGGTAGTGGATTGATGCGTTCTTTATTGTATTAACACTCCGATTTTTGAAATCGAACAGGGTCAGAATCTTGCTCAGACTATTCACCTAATTATTTCATTTTTAAATGCATTTTAACATGATTCTTTTCAGACTGTCTTCACTGATTCTACCAATAAAATGATTTTTACCACAATGGATTATGGAAAAACAATAATCCGGTATTCTCTTCCCTTCACACCAAGTGATGTAACTTTCCATCAAGACAAGCCTCTTGTGTTCCTATCTCATGACAAGAGTGATCCTAAAAAACAGGTTAGTACCTTTACTACCTCTCAAAACGGAGGAGATTCATTTTTGTTTGATCAGGTGTTGAACCACTATGAAAATGAACATATGTTTATTTTGTATATCAGTCATTAGAGACCTATCAGTCATGCATGCTTCCCCTAATGTTTGCACACATTACACGCATAGATGTTCAAGAAATTAAAAAAGGAAACTTTTTCATTCCTTAGAGCGAAAGGCAATAAATCAGTTAGCCCAGGGCTAGATCCCCTCTCCCCTCCCCCTTGCGAGACAAGATTAGATTTTTCTCTACCCCTTTGTACGAAGTAATTCCTGAGTGGCCCTCAAGGAAAATTTTAATGTTGAATTAATAATTATATTAAAAATATGTGAAAATGAAAGAAAACATTTAGAAAATCTTATAAGGCAGGAAATGAAAACATTCTGAGTAGGTCTCTTTTTGGAGTGGTAGGGGGCAGTATTAAATGATTCAACAACAAAATTGAATTCCTGTGCTGCACCAGAGATGAAATTTGGTCATATTTTTCAATGAATGGCAACTTTTATAATTTTATAATATTGCCACTATTTTGTTTGTTTATTTGTTTCCCTAAAAATGTAGCAACCTTGACTAATAGAAGTATGTGCAATATTAGCTAATAATTGTTCCTCACCAGAAACTTATCTGAATTCAAGCCTGTAATTTTTTTCATATTCCCCACATGTGTGGAATCTCTTTTTTTCTTCTTCTTAAATTCTTTATTATTATAACCGTGCTGGTAGTAGAGAAATCTTGAAAGAACCCAGCCTAAAAGCGAAAAGTTGAGGTGGCAGTAAGAAAAAAAAAACTATTTGCATTTTGATAACTGATATTGACAATTGACTAGCGCACAAATCTAAGAAAACACTTTAAGAGTTTGAAGGAGATAAGCAAACTGTTATCTGTGTTCCATAAGTGCCAATTCCAATTTCAACAACTCTTTTCCACACAAAGAATTTAATAGGTGACTCCAGGGAGTCATTTGCAATGACTTAATATATTTGATTCCTTTTAAAAAAACACCTCAATGTACATACTCCTGTATCGGCTCTTGTCTGCCTGATAAGGCCTCCTGTGAAAGGTAGAACATTTAAAATGAAACTGATCTACACAAAAAGTTATCCTTACAATATTAAGGAATGCATTCATAGAGGAGTGTAATTGGATTACATTTTGCAATAAGGACCCTTTATCTCTGGCTCTCCCATAAAAGCACGTATCTGCATAGGGAAACCAATGGCATGTATGTTGTCTCTAAAATGAGCCAGAAATAGTGGCTCCTTATTGTAAAGTGTAATCCAATCATAAGTTCTGTTGCCAAAACTCCACATCGATTTTCCCTCTGCACTGAATATGCATGGGGAAACAAGAGAATGAAGGAGACTTATTGTTAGTCACTTAAATTTAAAACAGACTCTCATATGATTTTTTTTTTTTTTTTTTTTTTTTTTTTTTTTTTTTTTTTTTTTTTTTTTAAATATGTATGAACTTAACTTTCTTTGAAATTTCACTTAATAAGTTACCCTATTGTGTACATAATGTAATAAAGGGGGGGGGTTGCTTTCTGAAGAGTTTAAATAGAACCTTTTTCAGATATCTTCAGAAGTAAATTTTAGTGAATTTTCGGAGTTCTGAAAACTTGTGCCCACTCCCCCCCCCCTTTCACTTTCAATAACAAGCACATATTGCTGAAGACTGACGAGCACTCATTAGGGCATTCATGAATGAAGTGGAGGAATATTAAAATCTCCAAAACCTTTGTTAAAATCTGATCCATTTGTTTCTTAACTGAAGTATGGTTTCTCTTTGCTGAAGGTCAGGTTGGAAGTGAGTTTGTCCATTTATTGATCAATGTCAGCTCTTGTGAAGCCTCAGTTTAAGCTTTTGAGAGTAAATGTCATGGGTCTCAATGTTTGAACGAGAGATTTAGAGAAGAGCTGTGAGTCACACTACATGAGTCAGTGTGAGTGTTTCGTTTTCAATTGACCTTGATTGAGTTCAAGAGGGAGACCAAGTGAGAAGACTCCCACCCCACTACCCCTATCAAGAACTGTCATCCACCATGTGGGCAATTGCAACAAGTTCTTAACATGCTGCTGATCAACGGCCTCTCTTTTGCTCCCCTCTATCTCATGTGGGGATATGTGTCACCATCCGGTGTGTGTAGTATCTCTCTGATGAGCATATCAAATTATTTTTTCCCCTGGCATTTTCCCCTTATCAACACTGCAATTCACTGGATGATGTCACAAGACCTCAAAAACTATTTGTTGCTGAAATGAATGAAGAATTATTCTGACTTTTTTATTTCATCTACTCATTCCTTTCAAATTTATTTCATGCATTAGTTTCTAATTTCTTTCTGTATCTCTACTTGTTACTTGATTTTTTTACACCAAGCATTTCAGTGAATAGCGAATATTGATTTCAATAAATGGGTTTAAAAAAGATAAGAAGGTCCATGAATCATTGCAGCACAAAGTGTAATCACCATAACATAGCAACACTGCATCAATTAATTGGATTGTACTTTACAAAAAGGAACTTCATACTATTTCTGGCTAATTTTAGAAACAACGTATGTGCTATGAGTTTCCCTATGCAGATAGGTACATTTAAGGTTAATCCAAAAATATAGTTCCCTGCAGTACAATTATAATTTTTAGTTTTGTATCACAATTCAAACAGCATTTCTTATCAATTTGTTTCAATTTATTTTGCAGCTATGGATAACTCAAGACTTTGGAAAAACTTGGAATGTGGCCCAGGCATACGTGAAGAACTACTTTTGGTCACCTTTCGAGAACATCAACTCCAACAAAAAAGAGCTCTTAGTCGAACGAATTGAACCCTCTGGAAGATCAAACATAATATCTGTCCGAAATTTAAGTTTGTTCTCAGGTCAAAATCAGGTGCTTCTCACAGAGGTTGAAAACTTTATTGTGAAAGGTGACTTCATGTTTGCCTTCAAAAAACTCAGTGAAAAGGTTTGTAAAGTTTTTCTCAGTAATATTTTTTTCTCCCGACCACTTTACTTTATTTTATGTACTTAAACATAGATTTAAAACTTTTTATTTGTTATACATGCCATTTTCTTGTTGAAGCTATATAAAGGTCCTATGAAGTACACTAGATATCCATAATTAAGTGACTATGTAGCTAGTGATAAACATTTTCTTTTTTCTGTTAATTTCACACTAATCTTTTTAACAAAGGGAACTTTGTGGAGCTTTTTAAAGCTTATAATTGGTTTTTCACCTAAGTTTGTCACTCGTTGTTGTGCTCTGAAGCGAGACGGTCGCGCTTCATCTCACGCCGGATCAGTATTTTTCAACAAAATTTCNTAATATTTTTTTCTCCCGACCACTTTACTTTATTTTATGTACTTAAACATAGATTTAAAACTTTTTATTTGTTATACATGCCATTTTCTTGTTGAAGCTATATAAAGGTCCTATGAAGTACACTAGATATCCATAATTAAGTGACTATGCAGCTAGTGATAAACATTTTCTTTTTTCCGTTAATTTCACACTAATCTTTTTAACAAAGGGAACTTTGTGGAGCTTTTTAAAGCTTATAATTGGTTTTTCACCTAAGTTTGTTATAGATTCATTCAGTCTCAAAGGTACTTTATGATCATGCCTCAGCCTCCTTGCCCCTTGTAATAGTAGAGGGCTTATTTTGTTTAAAAGCAGTCATTACTTTTGCTCTTTTTTGCCCTGTGTTCCAATGGTTCATTATTTCTTATATCGGTATTCAAGTGTTCTGTCAAACTGAGGAAAGGTTGATATCTTTCAAAATTTAAATATGATCATTTCTTTTATTAACAGAATTTAGAAATGTTCATTGCATACAAGAATTCTCATTTCATGAGGTCCATCTTCAATTCCGAGTTGGATCGGCTGGAGTATCATATTGCAGATGTCTACGAAGATCGCGTTTTTGTTGCTGTCCGCCATTCATCTACTTTCTCTCACCTGTACGTGTCTGACCGATTTGATTCCTCTACGGGCAGAGTTCAGTTCTTTTTGTCTATGGAGAGAATCTTGTGTTTCTTTCCTAACTCAACCTGGAATCATCCACTCATGAGGTAAACATTTTTAATTATTGTATGCATTTTTTATTTTTTGCTGTGGAAAAACAACTTATCACATAATATGAATGCATTTAAGAATTTTTGGACCTAAAATAATTGATTACTTATATTTGTGCATAGAAAATTTGAGTGAACTGTGCCTGCGATATCCTTATTTTTCAAATTAAACAAACATTGAAGGAATTATAACCTAATCATCAATTCGCATGTTTAAATGGAAAATACTGCCAAAAGTTTTTCGCCATGGCATTTTTCTTGCTTTAAAATTCACTTATCCCTTGTTTTCTACATCAGATTAATTATTACATTTTTTTAAAAGAATGATACAAAATAAAAAAGAAGTCTTCACTTAGAAAATTTTGAAGGAAAATCTGCAAAGTTGCCAATGATTTTTCAAATTTTGAAATATTTGAGATAAAATTGGTTTACAAAGTGGTAAGGCTTCGAACTTTCTACATCCCTGTGCCATCATTATATATCTTCATCCTACTTATTTACATGTTCCTCATCATTCTGCGCAGAATACAATGACGCCCATTCTTTTTTTTTTTTTTTTTTTTTTTTTTTAATAATCTGCACCTATGAGCTCCATATATTAGTTATTATCGTCGAATGTCAAACTTTTTAACCTTGTTAGCGACGCTCTAAATGTTGCAGTAATTAAATTTTTGTTATTTGTGTTTATCAGGTATTTCCTTTTTTTTCTTCTTTTGCGGATTCTAAATTTATGTGTTCACTTACAGTGCTGTGTCAGAAGAGGCCTTTGCAGATCTGCACCGCGTTGAAGGTATGCGAGGGATTTATATTGCATCTCAGTCACAACACACGAATGAAACAAACACCATTATCGGAGTGGAGCACCTCATAACGTTGATAACATTTAACTGGGGCAGTGAATGGAAACCCCTGAAACCTCCAACAGTAGATGATGAAGGTCAACCAATCATCTGTAGACTGGTTAGTGATTTTATTTGTGTTTAAAATATTTCTTTTTAAATTTTACAAAATATTCCTCACGGACTTTATTTCATAAGTTTCGGTTTAAAAGTACTCTGAAGATTGCTCTCTCTGAAACATTTTTGGTAAATGAATGAAATTCTTTATTTATACCAACTACTTTACAGTATTAAGGTATTTTACATCATAATAAATTACATAATTTTAACACGGGCAAAAAATACACCAAAAACACCCTGTTTTTGCTCTAAAATAGAGGACGGCTCTCCTAAGCCCCGGAGTAGTAGCCCTCCATACGAGAGGTTGGATACAAACCCCACGCCATGCCCCAGGGGACCCCCCCCCCTCCGAGCCCAGTTGTCAGCCGGCCGCTCTCTCGGAACTACTTTTGCTCAGCAGGTTTTAATCCTCCTCAATCTCACCTGCTACTGACTGGCGCCAAGCAAGAAGGGGAAAGCCTCCCTCCGCAAGACAAGGGGTACTGCACCCACGCACTTTCGAACTACCCCCCAAAACAAAGTCAGGTTACCCTCCCCTTGGAAGAGGGAAAACCTTTACAGGAAAAAAAACTCTTTAGATTCTAAAGTATTAAACATATAAAATAAAAATTGGGAAAAGTTCCCTTGGCTTCTATAATTGATGAGCACCGCTGCTCAGCGATATGTCGATCGATAAGAAGTTCCACTGGTCACACAAGCTTGGTTTCTATTGCAGCGCAATAATTTAAATTGACTGAGTCTAATAAAGGTGTCCATTGCGTCACAGATAAGATAAGATGGTAGGCCTGATCCCTAAAGTGTGGAGTGATCAAAGTCTTTGGTTCCTATAGTTGAGGAGCTACATGGCGCCATGTTGCATGCTGATGCTCCACATTTACTGCCACGAACACTGGACCAAGGGTAGAACAAACGCTAAATTTCTGCTTCATGACCTAAAGAGGGCCATACGGTGTGCGTACTTCTGGCGGAGAGAGAGACCATTTTCTAGCATCACCGCCCCTCCTTGATGTCGGGTCCACAGCCGCGATCACAGAACAGAGCAGCAGACTCTAATCCTCGGAAATGTGGCAATGCCACATTTGAAGACGAACTTATCTAGAGTCAATATCACATTTAATATAAGTGTCAAGTGTTGCTACTAGGAGGAGTTTCACAACATACGTTCCGATGTTAAATGAAAATCGCGGAAAACTACACATGATTAAACTCTATTGTTGGATATACTATCTTCAACAGATAGAAAAATGGAAACTATACCCGAAGGTGTAAGTTCGAACTTGATAGCACTGTGCGAACCAGGGGAAACGACCGAAAAAGCAGGAGCGGGCGCCGAAGCGTCCGCTCACGTCGGGCTCCTCTTATCGAATCCTTTTTGGTAAATTAAAAAAGAAAGTTATTTATTGTGTTGCTTCCCTTCAGTTCAATCTTAATTCTTGCCAAATTTATAAAAATTCAGATAATTTTCATGTCATCCTATTTAATTCAAATAAACTGTAAAACAGGTGTGAACGAAAAATAGTTTGATAAGAAATATCTGAAATGATTTGAAGAAAAAGTCAATCCCCCTGCCCATACTTGCGAATGCTCATAAAACTGTACTGTTTCAGGCTGAGGGATGTTCTCTGCATCTGAGTCAGAAATTTGCTCAACTGTATCCTCTTACTCGAGGTGTACCAATATTATCATCAAAATCCGCGCCAGGCATAATTTTAGCTACTGGATCCATTGGAACAAGCTTGAAGAATAAGCCTGGTATATTTTTAAGTCGAGATGCTGGATTGACATGGAAACAGGTATGTATCTGTTACCAATTATAGTCAGCAAAAATGAATCATTTATTTCAAAAAGGTACCAACTCTGAAAAACAAAATATTTCAGGAGATAAGAAAAATACCCAATAGGCAGATAGGTTAATACAACAAAAAAATTTTAGGTGTCACAGGTCTATTACTGAGTTACTTTGTCGGCGCAAAAGTTGCAAGACGTCCTTCACATTTTTTCACCGTAAAAATTGGATTTTAAATTTTCTAAGTTGGCTTTTTTTTCAAAATAAACAAGATTGAGGTGCTGGAATTTTGACTCAATATTGAGAAAATCAAGCATATGTATTCATGATGTTTATTTCTCAATGAAAACTTGAATCTAATAGCAAATAAAACAGGAAAACTTGAAAAAAAAATCAAATTAGGTCCCCCTTATTGTCAAAAAAATTTAACAAAAGCTTTCAACTTTTTTTCGTATTGAGACGCTGGAATTTTGTCTCAAAATGAGAACAAAGGAGCACATGTGTTGATGATTTGGACGATGAGTTGGCACCTTTCCCGAATGAGCGACTGATAGTCATTGTTACTTGAAGCATTTCCGATCACAGTTTCAAAAAAATATCCTCTTTGGTGTAAATGCATCCACTCCTGTGTATTACTTTCCCATCAAAAACTCAATTTCGAGAAAAATCTGACTCGACATCTTCTTGAAACCAACCCTTACATTGTTGTTACAAATAATATTTTACTTCTTCAGAATTGTCCATTGTCTCTTCTTGATACTGTGACTCGGGTATCTTGACTAGGTACTGAATATCATGTAAACTACTTGAGGAACAATGTTTGTGAACGATTCTTTGAATACTTGAGGTAGAGAATTTTTGCCGAATAAAAATAATCACTTATTGGCTGGGGTAATGCTAGTTCTTACCTGAGGCAAGGTATCTGTAAATTCAAACAATGTGTTGGTTATTTTGCCAACATGCGTCGAATTTTAGAATAAAATCAATATTCTCATGATAGAAAATTGTGAAAGAAAATTTGTGCTCTAATGAACTTTTCTTCTCTAAAGTGAGAATACCAGTTTTACATTTAAATTTAATTCACATCGGCAAAATCACCAATATAGTATCCAGACAGAAGTCTGAATAGCGTCTGCATTGGGCCCCAGTCAATTTGCAGTAAATTTAAGTTTAACATTTTTTGTAGTCAATTCCTTTGTTTTTTCTCATCCATCCATCTTCATTTAATTTTTTTTTATTTCTCCTGATAGATTTTCAAAGGAATCTATTTCTACAATATTGGCGACCATGGAGGTATCCTAGTCGCAGTTCAGTATTTCAAGACGCATGGAGAGACCAGAGAAATTTTATACTCCACTGACGAAGGAGAACACTGGCAACGCCATGAATTTTCTAATGAAGATCTAAAAATGTATGGACTAATGACGGAACCCGGTGGAAACACAACAGTGTTCACTATGTTTGGCTCAGTTTTGAACAAACATAAATGGCTCATTGTGAAAGTCAACCTTAGAAATGCCTTTAGTAAGTACACCACAAACTTGGATTTGCAAAAGTTTGTCAAATCAGTATTGCCCTTCAAATGTTTTGGATGCACCTTCCATGAATGAATCAAAATGTTATTTTGATCTCTATTTTTGCAACAAAAATATTACAAGTAACTCCTAACCAAGGTATAATGTTAATACGGATGAATGCATAAATTCAATCTTCCTGTTTATAAAAAACAAAATCTACCTGAGTTAAAGTGCACACTTAACGTCAAGGTAGTTTTTACTTTATGAAAATATGACAACTTCAAATTTGGCGTTTCGACTCTGTTTTTGCATGTCATTTACACTTTGAACAACGCAGGACAAGAAAGAAACACTGCCCGATTAAGAATCGTGCCAAAACAATTTAAGTGCATGATTTTACTCTTTTAGACTCTGGTTTTTCTTGTGAGCAGAAAGTTCAAAGTTCCCGTAGCCAGTGCTAAATGGAAACATTTATATCTTGATTATCAGATAGTTTCAGAAATTATTGTTTCACGAATCACTTTTCAAGTGAAATCTTAGAAAGGTAACCTATACCAGAATGCTTAAAATCGTACTTTGTTTAGTGGTCCATTCCAACTGTAGCGTGGACTATGGATTATGCAGATTGATTTGGCAAGTGCTCGTAGTCTCATACATAACCAGGGCAGGCGAATTTTGGACTATTGGGTACTAATTTCAGTTGAAACTTTCTGTTATATCATTATGTTGGGTACCTTAAGTAGAGAAATGCGTTTTCTATAGAAAGCATTGGTGTGGTGGTTGTGTGTACTGTCGTAGACAAGATAGAGATAAGTGTGAAATGAAAATTTACAGCATTGATCACGGAACATGAAAATAGGATGAAAAGGGAGGGAACTGTTTTCCAGCAGAATCTTGCACACTAAGCTTTTGAAATAGAAACAACTGTTTTCTTACCTTGCGTTCATAATAGTCCAATAATTAGTTAACATTAAAATAATAGTTTAATATTATGTTGAAAAACATTATAGTATTTTAGCAAACAAGATTATTTTGATCTCAATTGATGGTTTAGGGTCTGCTTGTAGAGTAAAACCAATATCAGGTCTCTATTATCATTAGTTTTAAAATTACTTCATCAGTCTATTTTCTTTTAGAGCAACCTAAGTACATACAGTAGATATCGGTTAATACGACATCGGTTAATACGACATCGGTTAATACGACATCGGTTAATACGACATCGGTTAATACGACATATCGGCTAATACGACGGATTTCGTTTTCCCCGGGGAAACTCCATAAGTTAATACGACATATCGGCTAATACGACGAAATCCCGTGACCCCTTGAATGTCGTATTAACTGATATCTACTGTATCATGTTTCATCTGGTTTCAAAAATAATAGTCACAACAGAGAATGGCTTATAACTGTACCTTCATTAAGTCTCCGAAGAAAATTTATTTTTTTCTCTCTTTTGCATAGGTGCCAACTGTACAGAGGATGATTATAAGATGTGGTCTCCAAGCAGTAAAACAGGCGAACATATGCCTTGTGTGATGGGTCGGAAGGAAACCTACGAGAGAAGGCTCCCAAAATCAAATTGTTACAATGGAGAAAATTATGACCGACCAAAAAAGATTGAAATTTGTGAATGTGACATCGAAGATTATCAATGGTGAGAATGAATCGCTGAGTTGTAATTATTTAGGGGGTCAAAATTTTATAATTAATTTGCGATCAAAGCAGATCATCTCTTTCAAACCTAGAGTTAGTCAGAGTGTGAAAAAAGATAGTAATGAAACAAAGTATAAGTATTTGTCTTTCGTAAAAAAATACATGCATTTTGCATGTGTGAAAATATGTGTGATCCTGGCTCCAATAACAGTATGTAACAGGCCCAATTTTCATCGGCGTGTTCTGTAGGATAAGGTTTTGTACAAGTGGTCAGCATGTCTGACTCGGTGTCAATAGGTCTCAGGTTGGAATCCTGAAAGTGGGGACAAATTTTTAATAGAATTGACAAGTAGATCTGCAGAAACAGACTTCACTTGGCCTTAATTCCTGAAAATTTGGAAGCCTGGAGCATGGATGTTTTGAGGTAGCTCAACTGGGATCTACCCAGTTAGATAGGCCTCAAAAAAATTGTCAAATAAATATAATAAATAATAAAATAAAACATTAAAAATAATAAAAATTCTCATTTAAAGAGACTTTTTTCTTTTTCAGTGACATCGGTTTTATCAGAAATGAAAACAGTCATCAATGCATTCGTGACAAGTCCAATGGCCTCATTGATCCTTATCAAGTTCCAGCAAGTTGCAAACCTGGACAGTTCTACAATCGAACGAAAGGCTATGTACACATCCCACAAGATGCGTGCAAAGGTGGTTTCGAGAAGCACTACCTTCCAGACTTGATACCATGTCCGTACAAAGAAGTCAAAGAATTTCTGCTTCTAGCTCAAAAGGAGAAAATTGTGCGTTTTGACCTTTCAAACCCAAATAAAATTGAGCAGCAAGTCTTGCCGATCAAAGACTTAATGAATGTTGTTGCTATTGAATTTGACCTGAAAAACAATTGTTTGTTTTGGGCAGACATTGTGAAGGACGTCATCGGGGTAAGTTTAGTTAATCAGAATAATTCCAGACTGAGACTAAAATTCTAATTTCATCACTCTCCATGACCTGTGTTCTCTTTTGTAGTTTTAACATTAGACTCAATTTTCTATTTTAATTATCACATTTTTTAGTGTATATGATTCTGAAGAATGAATCTCATCACTCAAAACCAATATTCAGGCAACAACAAATTGTTCTAATTACCTGATATTCGGTTCGGAAGCTCTCCTTTTCTCTCTTTTTTTTGTTGAAAAATTGGAATGTTTTAAAAAAATCTAATCTAATTGTCACTCTCCCTCTCACCTTCAGAGCTGAAAACTTGAACATCGTTTTATTTATGTCCACTGTTTTTCGTCTCTCTTACTTTAGTTTTTTTCTTCCTTTTCAGCGACAATGTTTTGGTGATGGTAAGCATGCGCCTGAAATACTTGTTGAGAGTCACTTATCATCTGTAGAGGGCATGTCGTTTGACTGGATATCAAGCCTACTATACTTTGTTGATGGCAACAGAGCAAGCATCCAAGTCATCCGAACTGACATCTCTCATAGTGGAAGAATGCGTAAAACAATTATAGGCCCGAACAAGCTGAAGAAGCCTCGAGGTATTGTCGTTCACCCTCGTGCTGGATATCTATATTGGACTGACTGGGCACAAGGTGAACCTAGTGTATGTCGCGCTAACGCAGACGGAAGTGACATTCAGAAATTGTTCACAAAACCTAATGTTGAGTGGCCTAATGGAATCACTATTGACCAAATTGCTGAAAGAGTTTATTGGGTCGATGCTCGTGAGGATTACATAGCCTCATGCGATCTCCATGGTCGTCATTTCAGGAAAATTATTAGCAGTGATGAACGAGTTTCACATCCTTTCGCAGTGGCAGTTTTCAAAGATTTAATGTATTGGGATGACTGGAAAGCAAATAGCATTTTCAGGGCTGATAAAGATCATGGTTATGGAATTCAGAATGTTGCAAGTAACTTAACTGGGCTCATGGATTTAAAACTGTATGCTCACAGTATCCAGGAAGGCACGAACAGATGTACCAACCAGACTGCCTGCTCTCACCTTTGCTTTGGATTGCCGGACAAATTTGTTTGTGAGTGCCCCGATATCATGATCAAAGTTGACAATAAATGTTTGTGTCCAGGGAAAGTTGAACCATTCAAAAACGGCACCTGCCCATCGAGCGGTAATTCATGTGCACCAGATCACTTCGCCTGTGACAACGGACCTTGTGTACCTTATTTGTGGAAATGTGACGGTGAAGATGACTGCGGAGACAACTCAGATGAAAAGAAGTGCACCACTTCGACTTGTGCTCCTAACATGTTCCAGTGCGTATCCACTGGAAAATGTATCCCTCTTTATTGGAAGTGCGACTTCGATCACGATTGTGAGGATGGCTCCGATGAGCAGAATTGCACGTACTCTCCATGTACCTCTGCACAGTTCAAATGTCATAACGGCAGGTGCCTCTCGAAGAAGTGGGTATGCGATGGTGAAGATGACTGTCACGATGGCTCTGACGAACTGAACTGTCGAAATGACACTCACACTACCTGTAAACCTGGCGAGTTCAAGTGCAAAGACGGCTCTGAATGCGTACCACAATCGTACAAATGTGATGGCGAGAAAGACTGCAATGACAATTCTGATGAAGCTGACTGTGGTCCTACACAGTGTGAAGAGTGGCAGTTCCAGTGCAAGAACAACCACTGTATCTTCAAGTCCTGGGTCTGCGATGGTGACAATGACTGCGGTGACGAAGAGCAATCAGATGAGCAAAATTGCGAAGTCACGGAGACTCCAAAATTGCCACCTCGTCCATTCGTGCCGACTAACTCTTGTTATGAGTGGATGTTCGAGTGCAAAAATAAGAAATGCATCCCCTATTGGTGGCAATGTGACTTTGTCAATGATTGCGGTGACAATTCCGATGAAATTGAATGTGCCTCAAGCCCCGACAAAAATCCTGAAAACATCATTCCTGCTCCGCCTGCTCAGCCTCGCTGTTCAGACCATCAGTTCAGATGTTATTCAGGTGAGAATCCAAAGTATTTATATATTCACTCAAAATATTTACAACAAAATGATGAGCTCACAATTAATAATTAAGCTACAAGCCCTATTAAAGTTTAGTACCTATTTCTTCAATTCATCTATCATATGTGACCTACTAATTAAATAAAAAATTTTGGGAATTGATTTAAGTTCTTCTGCTCTGCAAAATGAGACTCAAAATCCTACCTTTTCTGCATCTGTGTGATATCAGAGTGACAAGTCGGCACGGTTTTATCTAGATTTTCATGAAAATGAGTGATCCTATCTTTTCTACTTCCTCCTCAAATGGTTCTCATCACTGTTTGCTCCGTAGGTGTTTCATTTTTATATTTTAGCCTTCTTCTTGAAGACAATTAAGTTGTTTTAGAAGTGATCTTTCAGTCTGAGTTTAGCAGCACTGCTTCACAAGGTAGGCTTGCATCTCAACACTCGTTTCAATTTCAATGTTTCTTCTTCTCTCCTGTTTTCTGACATAAGTTTTTTTCTAAAACTCATTCTGTATTTGTTTGTTTTTTTTCCTCTCAGGTGAGTGTATCCGTAACTCATGGCTTTGTGATGGCTTCAATGACTGCGATAAAGGTGAAGATGAAGAGAATTGCAAATCTATTAACTTTGGTTGCCACTCCAATAAGAACCAATTCAAATGTAAACTCACTGGGAATTGTATCCCATACAGCAAAGTTTGTGATGGTATCTCGCATTGTCTTGATGATTCGGATGAAGCGCTCTGTTCCTATTCAGGCGGTAACTCTCCAAGCACGCCTGCAGCACCAACCTGTCCTCGAGGGTGAGTGGTTCTATCAACTTACATAAGTTCTTTCCTCCTCCTCATTAAATCACGGTGTCGAGATCAGGGAATGAAAAATTTTTGGAAATCTGTTCCAAAAACCAGGAATTTCTCCTGCTACTGTTTTCAGTTTAATTTTCCCCTTTAACGCTATTTGAATTCTCTCCAGGTTATCTTTTTACCGTCATTTGCGGAACATATAAAAGTATAATACTATGTTTGTTTGCGTGCTAAAAGAAATTGTGGTAAGGAAATTTTAAGTACCTATTAATATTAAGATTTATGTTATTGCACCCGAGCCGTTGTTATTGACCTCTTGAGAGAAATTTTTGAATTTTCAACTCATCAGAATAATAAGGAATCTTTAATTGTACAGATAATATACAGTAAAACTCGCATACATTGGATCGCTTCTGGACCGGCCAAAATTTCCGATCTAAGCGGGTTTAATTTTGTATCAGGCGCAAATGACTATGCCCCATCCCCTTCACTAACGTGGGAACCGGGTATATCTTTCGACACTTAACGCTACTCTCTGACGTACTGCATTGCGGGACGAGAAAAAGAGGTGTGAAATGACGGGAGGGGATTCAAAACCTGGAAATGTGTGTGTGCTCTTGCTCCTTGCTGTCGCAGATCAGAGAGGGAGGAAAGCGCAGCGTCTGCATCTCTCGCGTGATGTAAACACAATAGCCAATCAGATTACACCGTTTTTTGAACTGTATAGAATTTTGGGGCGGTTTCGGACCGAAAATTTGTCACGATTTAAGCGGGTTCTATTATGAGCAGTTCCTACGTACCTGGGATTTTTTTACATTGTTCTTATGGGCGAAAAAACGGGACCGTGCGCAACTGCCTATATAAGTGAGTTTCCGATATAAGTATGGGATGATATATGGGAGTTTTACTGGAAACATCAGGAATGCTTTTGGAATAAAAGATTTGAATGAACGCTAAAGAATAAGCTAAAAGATGAAGAAAAAAAAATCTATATTCATATCTGGAGCTATGGAGAGTTTTATCGTTTTTTCCAAGGAAATTCTAGACAAGTGAGAGAAAACTTTGCTTCCTCATTAGGGGATTCCCTTACCCGGAGCTAATTAGCTCTTGAAAATTAGGAATGAGCATGGCCAAAAATTCTAGACGCCATGCTTGAGGCAAATATGCTTTGGACTCGGAGGAATCCATGAGAGGGAGCTCTTGTGCTCTTTTTTCCATAATACAAACTTATGTTCAGCTCAACATTTTCTTTTTTTCTCCTTTGCATCGAGAGTATGTTAAATCTACAGATGCAATTGAATGTTTTCTTCATTGAACATACAGTTCGTTAAAGCTGTAGCACTGGTACACGTTAAAAGCTGTTCAAAGCAATGCTTAACTGAGAGACCCATGCCACCATGCCCTGATCCAAAGTTTTTGAGACTCAGACCTTACCGTGACACCTTTGGAAGCAAGGCCTGCAGCAGAGAGAGATTCTGCTATTGCTCTTTGCGCTTGACATTTTCATCGCGTGCCAAAATGCGTTTGTTCCTTGAGCTATAATTAATTTTTCTTTCTGCACTGTAGTATTCCTGCATAAGTAGTCAGGAATGACTTACTTAAAAGGAATACTTTCCAACACTGACTAAAGCTTAAACGGTAAAAATGGTCAGTGACTTCGTGAAATTGTAAAAGAAGTGTATAATGATGAATCCACAATGTTTTTTTTTTCATTCTACATATTTAAATTAAAATATCAATTGTTCTCATTTATTGCATATTTATTCTCTCTCAATTTTTTTATTGCAACGTTGAACTTAACATTTGTTTACCTTATCAGGGAAGTTAAAATTTCTTCCAGACACTTGTTAACATAAGGTCTTCAATGTTTCATTCATTTTTTTACTTTTTCCCCTCTAGGTCCTTCCCTTGTGATGGAAGTCGGTGTTATCCCCTATCACACCTATGTGATGGTCATCAAGACTGTTATGATGGTTACGATGAAAGCAATTGCTCTAACAATACTCAAAAAATTTACCAAGTTTTCCAAATTGTTGCCGATATCAAAAACATTACAAGTACTAGTCTGCCCATCTATTGGTGGATTCCTATCTCCCATGACACTGAGCTGGAGTTCATGCCCTCAATTTCTGTCATAAACTCAATACTGTGGCATAATAAGACGTGGACTCCCAAGCTGGAGTACAGGTTTGAGGATTTGAGTCCGGACACAGCTTATAACATCACCATCTATGTCCGTGTCAAGGGAAATGAAACCGTTTATCCACCTGCAAAGTATGCCATCTTTGCCACGAATGAAGCAAGTAAGTATAGTCATGTGTTCTGGGTGTATATTTCTTCTTCTTCTCTTTTCATCATTTTTCTCTAAGCTGCGCAAGAATCCAAGTGTCTTAAAAAGACAAAAATCTAATTGAATATCCATATAAAAAAATCAATAAAATACCCTGGTTCGCAAGCCTTTTTTTTTCTTAATGATTTCCCGAAAATTTAATTATTGATTCCAGTTATAGATTTTTAGTACTGCACCAGTGGTTTTTCCCATAATTTTTCCCCCTCTAATATTAAGCTTAAATTGTACATCTAAGTAGAGCTTTCTGGTTAATAATTTAGTTGTATTTCATTAACAGATCACCGAAAAGCCCGATTTCAAACTGTTTTTATACTTTTCTTTCACTGAGTACAGAGATGTAATCTTATCAAGTTGTTTGCATTGACATAAAAGTTTTTCGATTAATATTCTATCCTGTGCATAATTCTTGCAGCTCCAAGCCCACCTCTAAATCTGACAGCAACGCAGATTAGTTCCACAGAAGTGTTAGTCAAGTGGCTGCCGCCCACTCATCCTAATGGACAAATCACTCAATACGATCTTTACATGATGCCACCAGTTCCACCAATCGTGAAACACACAACCAAGACCAGCTTCACTATGGAAACCAACTTCGAAATCAACAAGACCTATACATTCTGGGTTTGTACATTTCTGAGCTTATGGGTAGCCTATTCATGTAGCTTTTAATCCACAAAGGGTGTTCAAAAAAATGTTCACATTTCCGGGTTTTGAGCGAACAAAAGCAGCTATTGATCTGCGGTTTATGTGTGCTTAAAGTAGACGTAATTACCAAAACCAAGAACAGCTCTCTAGCTTAAAAAATGACAGAAATACAGAGTTTTTAAAATGACATGTAGCATGACCGCCTCTAGGACCTTTGGCCTTGTTTGTCAAGAAAAAAAAAGCTAAATGAGAATTGAGTGTTTTTATTGAAAAAACTTACAGAATTTTATGGAAATTGACGAACTTTAAGCTTCTTCATCGGATGACACGACCGACTCAACATTCGGCTGTTTTTTTGAAGTATTTTCCACCACTTTGAACACACAGCTTCAGCAGTTCTGCCCACTTCACAAGGATTGTCTTTTTGAAGTCTTCTTAACAGAAGGTTTTGAAGAATTTTTGAACAGCAGTTTTGACCTTGGGCATGGAATCAAACTGTGTGCCTCTCAGAAATTTTGTTTAACTCAGGAAAGAGTCAAAAATCACACAGAGCCAGGTTCAGACTGTAGAAGGGGTGCAGGAAAAGGACAATGTTGTGTTTTTCCATGAACTCCTGGGTAAACTGCGGCTGAAGCTTTGCGTTCAAAGTTGTGGAAAATACTTCAAAAAACAGCCGAATGTTGAGTCAGCCATGTCATCCGATGAAGAAGAAGCTTAAAGTTCGTCAAGTTCCGCAAGATTCCGTAAGTTTTTTCAATAAAAACACTCAATTCTCATTTAACTTTTTTTTCTTGACAAATATAGCTAAAAATCCTGGAGGCGGTAACGCTACATGTCATTTTCTAAACTCTATATTTCTGTCATTTTTTAAGCTAGAGGGCTGTTCTTGGTCTTGTTTTATTGGTAATTACGCCTACTGTAAGCACACATAAACCGCAAATCGATAGCTGCTTTTGTTCGCTCAAAACCCGGAAATGTGCAAAACTTTGTGAACATCCTTTGTATTTATGCTGCAAAACCCTACTTTATGAGAGTGTAATGAGGGTTTTGAGAGGATATGTAATATAATATGTTCATAAGCTGAATGAGACTTTATTTTTCGATTGAGAGAGTTCTACATGTACTAAAGTGGAATCACATGAAGTCTGCTTACCAATGAGTCAAAAATTTGGATAAATCATATTTTTTCTCTGGTTCTATCAAAATCTTAGTGTAAACAATTTAATCAATTTGGGATAAGTCTGAATCTGGGTTTTTACATTGTCAGGAATTTGTTTATTTTGGACGTATTTTTTGTCTCCATCGTCAAGTTTTCTAACGTTCTGTTGGAAAAAAGGGCTTTTATTTCTAAAAAGTTTACCACTTGTAAGACTTTGTATGTTGAGGTGAAAGTCGGATTAAATCAAATACACATGCCTTGCAGTAATTTTGTATTTTGTCCTTCTTATTTTAGGTTGTTGCAAAGAATTCTGCTTATGAATCCAACTACTCGGCAACAGATTCAATAATTTATGATAGCGAGTCATTGATTGACAGTATAACAGGGTTGAAAGTTCTTTTAGTCACCGAGCAAATGGTGACATTAGCTTGGGACCCTGTGAAAAAAGCAGAGGGCTACTATGTGACTCCTCGTGCTGCTTGGCGTCCTTACCCTGATCATCCAAAGAGCACTGTTTCTACGACTACATTTAATGGTTTGTTTTTATTTTATACTAAAGTAATTCCATAATACCAGGAAAAGTGTATTGGCTTCACAGAAGGACATGAACCCTTAAAAATTGCCCTTCTGTCGGAGATGTGCAATTATTCAACTTTTACTCTTAATCTTGGCTACAACCCCCCCCCCCCCCCCCCNAAATGGAGATGAAAAACCTTTGGTAATTGTCATTATGTACTCTTCTTTTTCAATTTTTATCTTATTTTAATCTTAATCCTACAAATAGTTAACTTTTTTATTTTAATGGAGCCCTAATACGACCAACAGTAGATTTGATGAATTGCTTGATTTGCTTGTCATTAAGATAATTACAAAGAAACTTCTCAAGAAACATCATTTAGTTTTTAAATCTCTTCAAACTTTGATTATACATGAATAGATCCTCTCTGCTCAGTGACTTCCTTTGAAGTCTTTAGTTGGTACAATTTCTGTAAATTTTACCTCACTGTTATCTTTTTGAGCAGCTCCTCTGAAAAGCTTTGCTTTCTCTACCCCTTCTGATTTCCTTCATTTACTTATTTCAATGTGTTTTGGTTGCAGTAACTAATCTAGCCCCTGGTGTTGAGTACAACATAGATGTGTGCGCCTATAATAAACGGTATCAAGGCACTCCTGCCACCGTCAAGGCTGTAACTAAAGGTAAAGACATCTGATTTTGCTCATCTCCTCTTTCTTCCTATTTTATACATGATCCAATTTCAAAGTTCAAACTTTTTCTCAATGGCAGTAGGAATCCAGCTAAATCCAGTCTTTGTCGAGTTTTAAGATTCTAGTGTCTGAGAACTTTTCCTTTAAGTTACTTTTATTTCCCATGCGACTACTATTGTCGTTGGTAACTAAATGGGAAAGTTTTTAGAATCCAAAGGGGGGTGTAAAAACTCTCTTTTATCCAAAGGAACTGAGAAGCATTTATCTGATGCTCTTTCCTATCTTTTTTTCTGCAACGTTAAATTTTTCCTGAAGAAATACCTTGATATCAAATCATACATAACCTTTTTCACTTCTTCTTCTTCCTCCGTTGGTTTATTGGCTTATATTTCTTATGTGGTATCTACAGCCAGCTATAGACAAAATAACCTTTTTCTCTGAGAACCAGAAAATTTTAAAAGCCAGCAATCATAAAATGTTAACTTTTGTCCTCTTTGATGTTCCGAATTTTACCAAAATATTCCTATCTCATTTTGATGATTGTTTCCAGGCAAGCCTCTTCCAACTGTGTCAAACTTGAGTGCCTCAGTCACAAAGCACGATGCCACAACTGTGCTACTGAAATGGGAGGCGCCAAAATACTTCAATAAAGAGAAATGGCAGTATGGAGTGTACTATGACAACACAAAGAACATTTGCAAGCTCGCCAGATCAATCACTTACAACACATCGGTTGAAATTAAGGATCTAGATGCATGTGAAGCCTACTCTTTCTCTGTGGGCCTGGTCAATCCTCTTGGACCAGGACCTCTTTCCCCACCAATCACGTTGGTAACAGAGTATGATCCAAAAGCGCCACCCAAAAATGTAAGAGTAATGGTCAATCCGACCAACAATTCTCAAGCTCTTGTCACATGGTCATCTTCCTGCAGCGTCATGAGAGATCCTGTCGGTTACTCGGTGAGTTTTGTGTTCCATCTGCAAATCGCCTTGCTATTAATTTTAATTGTGAGAATTTCATTACACCTTCAGACAGATTTTAACCGAGGTAAACGTGTGTTATTTTACTGTGTTACAAGTTCCTTTTTTCAGAGTAAAACATCCTAGCATCATATTCAGATGAATTTTAAAAATCTAATTTTGAAAGGAATTGTGTGGAGTGCATGGGTAAATACGCTCTTTCATTTTTTTTGTTGAGGATAAATTAGGCTAATAGTTACAAGTACTTACTTTTGTCTGAAGCCTAAACGTTCATGACTTTCATTTGATGGATGTGTGACAATGTTTTTTTAAATTAAAAGTTATTGTTCTAACAATTGCTTTTCTCCGTAGGTTTATGTCACAGAGTTGACTGATGGCCATGGAAAATCGATGATCGGCAAAGTCGCTCCTACCAATGCAACGCAGCTTCACTACATGTTTGACACTAATTATGGAGCCCACTACAATGTCTCCGTTAGCACTGTAGAGTTCGGCTCAAGGATGAGTCAATCTTTGACTCATTGGGCACCACCTCTGCCAGTCCCACACCAGTTTGAAGTATTCCCAGAAAAGAATGGCAGCTATGTCCTGTACTGGAAAGAGCATGAATTACCATCATACATGAAGAATGTCAAGTATGTCGATTCTTTCTGTCCCATTAAAATTTTAACTTGCTCTCAACACTTTTGTAACTCCTTCACCGCTAAAGCGGTCATAATGACCGTTTTCTTGTTGGTTGCTCCGTGCTAGAACGCTTGAAGTTACTATCCAGGGTTTTAAACAGTGCTTTTCCATTGCGTTGTGGTGTGATAAAAGCGCTGCCTGTGGGTTCCCTGAGTAACGAATTGTCGAATACTAGTTACTTATGTTATAGATAAGACTAGGTAGCGTCACTCGGGTAAGTGGAAACCCTGATTTGAAGCGTTCGAGTCTCGCTTTTTTTTGCGGGTCTCCCCAGCTCAACAAGAGCAATTTTGCAAAAATACGTCAACAGTGAACATTTTAATTGGTCAACACTCCATTATATGTTCCGAATTTACGAGCATTAGAAAACTGGAAAGTTAAGCACGCAGGGTAATGGTGAAGACACGTAATTTTTTGGAACACGACAGTTAAAACAATATATTTAACTGAGGCATTAAGAGAGTTGATCATCGACAAGTAGGCTTGCCAATGCATATCATTAGGTTCAGAGAAGATAGAGTAAACACTTGAAATATGCAAGCAAAATCAGGAGATTTTTCCCATGCAAAAAAGCATTATTCTGTACCTGCTGGATATTCTAACAAATTATCTGGTATCCAGCATTATGGTTTCTTTTCAACTCAAATCAATACTATTGGGTCTCCATCAAAATTGTAGTATTTTACATGAAGCATACAAACCTTTGCAGTGAACCTCTTGGGTAAAATTATTATATTACGGTCCGCCTTAACACTAACTTTTATGTCAGGATTTTCTTCAGAATTTTGATCTGCATGCAGAAATCTTGGTGATGGATCAGTTGCGCTGGTCTCAGAATTGTGTTTCAATTCTTTATACTTGTAAATTAGCCTAAAATAATGAGATCCGTTCCAACAGCAACTTTCTACGTTGAATATCAATTGAGAAATGGTGCTTTGAAAAATTCATCCACCGGGTAGTGACACCCTTGGTTTCTTCCGCCTTGGTTTCATCAGTTGGGGAGACACAGATGGGCACTGGTTACTCAATGTCAGACTCGGATGAAAACAAGGTGAAAAAAACCAAGGGTGTCAATACTGCAGTGGATAATGTCATAAACCGAATTTTTCGAAGGGCGATATCTCTATTGATATTCAACGTAGAAAGTTGCTGTTTGAGAGAATCTCATTTTTTTTAGTTTATCTACAAGATTTAATCATTGAGATACGATTCTATCACTGACCTATTGGCTTTTCACCTGGCCAGTTTTCTTCAATTTTCATTTTTGTGAGCAATCAGGTAAACCTAATATGTGTATCCTTCTTTTTGTTTCAGTTACTCTTATGTTGTAGTCGTATCAGAGGGCTCGAGTTTGAATCTTGCAAAATCCAAAGAGTATAAAGTGAATTCCCCTCCCTACATCCTGACAGACGTCAAGGATGGTATCAATTATTCGTTTGGTGTCCAACTAGTTACTTCTAATGGTTACCGCTCTAGCCTCTCAGAAGTTTTCTCCTTTGGAACTCCCCTTGGTAAGGTCATCACATCTTTTCAACACTCATTCAAATCCTTCAGATCAAAAAGAAAATAATCTTCAATCGAAAGTTTGAATTACTAAGAATAGAATAAAAATTTGAGATGCAGCTCATCATGTGTAGTTCAGATTATGATCCTCAATGATGAGTGACTTAGATCAGAAGAGAAGGTAGAAATTCCAGACAAGATCAACTGTGAATTGGAAGAATTTCAGAATCAGATTTCATGTCTCTCTCCTCCTTATCTTCATTTTCCTTCCACTACTGCAATGAAGCGTCTTCTGAGGGAAGTGTTTCGTCAGATGCTGGGATTGAAAACTTCGATCTCCTGATGGACAAAGGAATGAGAACTGGCAAAAAAAAAAAACCAAGTGTCATCTAAATTAATTCTTACTATTCTTGAGCTCATTCCTAAAGGTAGCCCTCAAATGAACGCTGATTGCGTATAGATGAAAATTTATAAAAATGTATTTTAAATTTAGCGCTTTCGCTGTGAAAAATCTGACTTTATTATTTACCGCATATTTGCAGTGTTTGTTGACTAACCTAGTCAACTGGGCTTACACTGTACTGCAAAATTTTAGGATTACTTTTCTAACTGTAGCTCATTTTCTCAGGGTACTGGTCAGAAACGCTTCACTCGAGTGGCGTCATGAGTGGTCTCTTGGTCTTCTTATTACTTGTAGCCTGTGCCGGTCTCATCTTTGGAGCTGCCTATACGATGCGAAAACGGAGGCGCAACTTTACGCAGTTTGTTAACAGCCATTACGATTCCCGTTCTGGTTCAGCAACATTCATGGCCTCAAATCAACTTGGTAAGCTCTTTGCCCTCGATTTTTCGATTTTTCTCTGAGTTTTGGCCCTTTCATCTGGAAAGAGATCCTGTCTCTTAGTCATACCTAATGTCTCTTAGGCCATTTTCTAATAGCCTTCAGGACTTTCTCTCCCTGGATTATCTTTCTTAGACCTTTACGTTTCTATTTAGGAAGGATAAGAAAGTTTTTAATTCATTAGGGAAAGAACAGTATCAAATAGCAAGTGTAACATGGCTCTTCTCAAAAGATTTCCAGTAGACTTCATCAGATACATACCATTTCGGCCAGAATGCAGGTGATAGCTGGTCCTGGTATAATGTCAGCAAAATTTCATCTGGTCAGGATTTTTCAACGCCAAAAATGCATAGATGCCAGCAATATAGCAAGCAACGATGACTTGCTGGGGGAATAAGCCAACATTGTCGGCACCACATCTTAACAGAAAGATTAAGTCCCTCATCTTCTTTACCTTTTAATGTTTGCCCACCCTCTGCTGAAAAACCACTCCAGAGATGAAGGTGAAAGAGCCGTATGCAAAAACGACATTTTTCGCCCCCCCACTAAAACTTATTCAAACTTCGTCTATCAGTTACTAATACTGGAGCGCTTCTTTCCCCAAATTTTCAGACCCCCAAAAAATTTTGGGGGGGGGGCGCTAGGGGGGGTGGAAGTCAAAACCTGTGAACCTCGATATCTTTCGAACGAAACAAGATATTGAGGCCCGGTTTGGACGAAAAATCGTCTAAAATTGCATACTTTAAGATTCTGTAGGTCAAAATCCCAAAATTAAATTTTTAACTTAACTTATGTGCTTTTTTTCAGTTTTTGAGGAAAAACAATTTCTTTTAAACAGATTAAACTGAAATTTCACATTTTTTGATTTAAACCAAAACCAGTCTTTTAAATTGTTCGTCTTTTTCCGCATCCAACGAGTGGTCGTATAAGCTGGGGAACCGAACGGTTCCGGAGTTATGATCGATTGAAGTTTCCGCTCAACGCGCGCCGACCGATTTTCGCGCGCCAAAAAGTCGGATTTGTCTGTTATTAAATCAGATGTAATGTTCAAACTGAGCAAAATGCATTATTAGGGACTCTTGAGGGTCGCTGAGTCCAGAAATTACAGATACTTCCAAAAAATTCACGTTTTTAAAATTACAGCTCCGTACAGGACCACTGAGCGGCCGGTCGGCGCTCAGTGGGCCTCTAAAATAGCGCTACGGAGCTGTAATTTTAAAAACGTGAATTTTTTGGAAGTATCTGTAATTTCTGGACTCAGCGACCCTCAAGAGTCCCTAATAATGCATTTTGCTCAGTTTGAACATTACATCTGATTTAATAACAGACAAATCCGACTTTTTGGCGCGCGAAAATCGGTCGGCGCGCGTTGAGCAGAAACTTCAATCGATCATAACTCCGGAACCGTTCGGTTCCCCAGCTTATACGACCACTCGTTGGATGCGGAAAAAGACGAACAATTTAAAAGACTGGTTTTGGTTTAAATCAAAAAATGTGAAATTTCAGTTTAATCTGTTTAAAAGAAATTGTTTTTCCTCAAAAACTGAAAAAAAGCACATAAGTTAAGTTAAAAATTTAATTTTGGGATTTTGACCTACAGAATCTTAAAGTATGCAATTTTAGACGATTTTTCGTCCAAACCGGGCCTCAATATCTTGTTTCGTTCGAAAGATATCGAGGTTCACAGGTTTTGACTTCCACCCCCCCTAGCGCCCCCCCCCCCAAAATTTTTTGGGGGTCTGAAAATTTGGGGAAAGAAGCGCTCCAGTATTAGTAACTGATAGACGAAGTTTGAATAAGTTTTAGTGGGGGGGCGAAAAATGTCGTTTTTGCATACGGCTCTTTGCCATTAGGATTCTTCAGGCCTGAAGAAAGTTCTTTTTTGGTGGTAGATGTTTTTAAAATATCCATCCATAGGAAAGGAGTGTTTAGGAATACAAAACTTACTGATTTTGTGTTTTCTCTGGCTTATTATTCCATACCTGAAGTGAAAAAATCATGGTGAGACTGAAACTTAGCATGATAAATATGTATTTATATTTTAAAATTTTATTTACAAAAAAAAAAATAAGTTCGATTAGGCTTCTTATCCTCCTTTTAATGACAAACAAAATGTGCTATACTGAGAATTTGATGTGTGATTTTGATGGTTGTGTCAATCTATTAAATTGTTTCATTCTCTTTCTCATTTGCTTTCCAAAGGAATGCCATTCTTAAGTAAGTATGTTTTAATTCCTGTCATTAATTTGTCATGAAATTTGTAAGACCTAAAACTGAAGGGCCTACCTCGTCATCCCTGCCACCCTTTAAAAAAAACTCCTTTAATCAGTCATCAAGGATTTTAAATCTGTCAAAATGGATTCCTTGTCAAAATTTCAGATATTTTTCATTCTGAGAATATCAGTTGTCTTTGCTCGCAATATAAAAGTGTATCTAATTCACCATCTTGCAGGTATCAGGATATACAGTCGACTGGAGCTATAACCAAAATCGCCATAACAGTTATCCCCTTTAAGCGAAGATATCCAATTCCTTGAACTTAGTATGTTAACTGCATGCAATTTATGGCCGATGTATCAAATTTGGTAGTTTGTGACTCCCACTGATGTAAGCAGATTTTGACAAGTTCGGTTTGTTGACTGTCGAAGAAAGTTGAAAGTGAACCGCTACTTTGCGTTATTCTGCCTTACTCTGCGTGTTTATATATGTAATGATCACTAATTTTTTTATCTTCTCCTTTTTCCAGAAGAGGAAGAAGACACGCCTGTGATTCAAAGCTTTGCAGATGATGAGCCGTTGGTTGTAGCGTAAAGAAGATGAGTCAGTAATTTTTATTATTAATTTTGTTTTTGTTGTTACATTAATTGACCTGTGATAAAAAAAAAAAAGTTTTTCAGTCATGATATTGAGTAACTGAGTACTGAGTTGTAAAATTTTTTATTCTTCTGTGAATTTGTTTTTCACATCAAAGCTGAACTTAGAAATTTTTTACATGCCATTCACCAGGAGAAAACCTGTTTCTTTCAGGCAGGAGTCTTGATTTCTCTGTTCCTAGACTACTTTTCTGGAATACTTTCTCCGAACTATCATTTCAGACTGTTCTCACTTATATACAGAATTTCATGTGAATTGATTCAAGATTTCTATTTTTTCATAATGTAGTTTGTGAAAGAATTTTTTTTGCAAGCTTGAATTTTTTTCTCTCTGTTTTTCTTTTCCTTTTGAAAAAGTTCTCTCACAAAAATTACAGGAACCTCCTTGAGCATGACTGATTATTTTTACTGAAATCTCACACGAAAGATTTCCTCTGCTCCAAGGCACCTTATGTAGTCTGAGTAGCAGGTCCTGTTTTGAAGTTCAGGAACTTAAAAATTTACGGCAACAAGAGTATCTTAGTTGACTGGGAAGCTGTGGGTAATTTTTACCGTGACTTTACACTATTAATGGAAACTTGCACAGTATTTTTGTGATTTTTGCCCTGTCTCACACAACAGAATAAAGGGTAAGGTATGGGAAACTTAAATCTTATGTAGTGTTTTTACATAAAGAGGAATTTAAATTGCCTGTAGTTTCTTTGAAACAGCTTCTAAATTTCATGAATTTGATTCATTTCCCTCCTCCCTCCTCCCCTCTAAACTCTTGTCAAAATGTCAAGTGGACGGTATTTAAGTATTCGAATCCCATCAATCTGGAAACTGAATAAATTTTAGCCGTAAAAGAACTTCTTTGTCTGCTGTGCTGTTTTCATTACATTAGTATGCCTGTATTTTTCATCTTACAAATGTATTTATCGACAACCTTGTAGATACCTTCTCTTAGAACTACTTTAATGAGATTTTATTTTCTATTACCTAAACACAAATGAAAAGACATTGTAGAAAAATTTGAAAGCAACTCTAAAGACATTAAAAATAGGTTTGAATTTTTTATTTACAAGGTATAGCTTTATCTAAGTATCTGATGAGTAGCAACTTATCTCTCAAAGAAGTTTAGAAAACGATGTGTCACATAATTAGTTGTATCCTTACGCATAGTCACAATTTTGATGGCAGGCCACTTTTAGTTGTTTTAATTTTAAAATTTTAAATATTGTGTCAAATATTTTAATCATTCTTAATGAGTCTTCAGATAATCAGCATTCTGTTCCATTCTTTTGGTGTTGTAATGTAATTATCGTATGGAGGGTTTGCCTCCTCTTCCAATTTTCTCTCATCTGCTATTCAACTGAAGACTGCTCATAACCTTATTCTTTTTATACCCTTTTTTATAAATCTAAAACTGTGAATATGTTATGTTAAGCGTTGTTACTGGAGGTACATGTATCTTGACATTGCAACATTCTTGTGAATTTCAATTTTATAATAGGATTTTTGTTTGTTAGTAGATTTTTGTCAACATCAATTTTGAACTACGTGACAAGAGTTATTATTTGTATGTGAGCAAGCTCCTTTTTTTGTAGAGTATTCAACTTTATTTAAAAATTGGACCCAAGACATTCTTTCAGTAGCATAAAAGCTATTTGGTTGTTTATGTAGGGTTGCCACAGTCAGGGAATACCGAGAAATGTCAGGAAATCTGACAGAAGTGTCAGGGAAAAATTGTTGAGTCACCTTTTTTTGCATTCTAGAACGGATTTGACTTAATGAACAACAGATTTTGCATGAAAGCTATTTCAAATTATGTCTTTTGAACTATCAGGCATATATTCAATTGTCAGGGAATTGAACCAAAATATGACAGAGAAATCAGGGAAGGGAATTTCATTTTCCAAACACTGCTGCAACCCTGGTATTACATACTTATTTATGGGATGTAGTTTTGGTAGTGTATTGGAATGAGAATATGTATTTTAATTGGTCAAAAAATGTTTCTGTCACAGTAACATTTTGAAGTTTTAACACGAGATAACTCTAAATATGAAAGACATTCTATTTAATTGCTGTAGACTTTACACCTGTGGTTCAGCTCATCTGAATCAGCAAAATTTTAAGACTTGATTGCTGTAACTATTTACCCTATTGATTGTTTATTTTCTTATGTAGTTATTAATTGATGTTACCATTACTATAAAAAGTTATTGTGTAGTTCAATCGGTGTGTGAACTGTCTTATTCTATCTTGAGTTAGAATCTCTCAGGTTGAATTTGATTTTATAATGGTTGTTTTACAAAGAAAATGATATTAGACATTTGTGCAGTGAAAGCAACCAATTACCTTAGTTCTAATCAAATCCGTCATGAATAGATATGGTGGGTTCAATTGACTTTTTGTCTGTCATAAATAGAGATAAATGGAGTTGTATAATTCTTTAAAAAAATTCAATAAGAAGTTAAGATACCAAATTTACCCAAATGGTACTTTCTATTGGAAATTTTGAGAAGTATTTTGTAAAATTACCTTTAAGCTGAGTATTAATTTAATGCTAAAGATTCAGAATTCATCGGGTTGATCAGTAAAATTTTGCCAAAGCTGTAAGTCAGAAGTTTGGGACTCCTTCTTTTCTCATCTCCAATGTAGTTTCCTTTTTTTTCCTTCTATCATCACTGGTGCCTCCCTCTCTTGATTTGAAAGTCAGTCAAAAAAATTAAATTTTAAACTAACAGTGCTTATTCAATGAAAACATCTCAGATCTATCAAATTCAGCTATACTTAAAATAATTTTGGTAGTATAAAATGTGCCTGCATGTGCTATATTTTTTTCACCATTCTCACTTGAAAGTGGCAGTGGTCGAATGAAATTAGTTTCATGTAGAGTTTCACAATGGTTCTCTGAAAAATCTTGATCTCAAAAGTTTAGCCTGATGCATTTATTGACTTTAGTCTCGATTTATACTTAGTTCTGGAGTATTTACTGTTAATGTAAGGTGTGAGTCGTCCGTTGATAGGATGTTGTGCAGTATCATGCAAACTTTTAATTGCAATTTATGTATTTTAAAAAACGAAGTTGTTAAATGTATCCTGTAAAAGGACAATAAATTGTGCCTGTTGCATTTATGGTTTGCTCCAGTCAAGAAGCGCAGCCTAATTATTTCTATCAATTGGAGTTGAACAGTAACATTGGGTGACCAGCTTGGTTCTCTCTTTCAGAAAAAATCATATTTAATCATCGGAATCCTGTTCAAAAGTGTCGCTCATAGAGTTATATGCCCCATTCCCTCAATTTTTTGTAGCAGCAAAACATTTTAAGCGAGTGTGAATGACTTCCCAACCATTTATTATATCTTTCCCACTTTGTGTAAAAGTCCAATCTATTAACTCAAGTGATCTTCGATTTTTCGTGATATTGGTTTAATCGTATAACTTTTATCCATTCGACATCCCATACTGATTACATACACCATAATTTCAAGCATAATTCTTAATGAGCATAACTCATTGACTTTTTCGTTTTGTCAAATTATAGGGCAAAGTTGATTTAAGTTGAGTCTTGATGATTTTACTTCTTGAGATAACTAGGACATCTCTTCTGTTAACCAGTTTATCTTGCTTTCAAGTTAGGTTTTGTTAAATTTGTACAGTTTGATTCTATTTGATGTAAAGTATGTACAGTTAATTATGAATTCTGAAGTTTTTTCCTCAAGCACGAGAAGTAAATGTAAACTTAACGATGAATTGGTGAGTGTAACTACAGGGGTAGTAGGTACAAGGATTGTACCGAACTATCACGTTTCTGGGGGGTATTTCACTAGTAGTAAAAAAACTGAATATTCATGAGTAAAACATAAACCCTCTTCCACTAGTTAATTTCACTAACTTACTTTCATAGATTTTATTTAGTCAAGAGATTTAACTCTTCAGAGGATGTTATCATTCTAGTTCCTGGTTTTGAGCTGTTATCATTGTAAGTAAAATTAAGAGTTAGAATTTCAATGTACCTTAATTATTATTTTAGAAAAAAGATGTAATATATGTAAAAAATTGCCACATCTTTTTCCTAACTTGTGAATGTTTTATGATTATTTTCCAATTGTACTTGCTAAACTATTTATCATTAAAATATTTTCTTTTGAAACCTTTGTACATCAATCAGATACGACACATCACATAACTTAAAACACCCCACGAAATCTTCAGCCAAGAAACAGTCAAAAACAAGATAAGTGTCTGAACATACGTAAGAAAGATCAAAGAATCGATTTTCGTTATCGAATATCCATCTTCGAATATCCGCGGTTATCCGCGATAGTGAGGACGGGTCGACTCGTGGAGCGTTTTGGACCAGAAATTCGGACTTCTCGACTCATTCTACAGGGGACTCGCTTCATTTCAGCCCGATCGGAGAACTTTCGATTTTGACCCCTGAATTTTAGTCCATGTAACACCCTGTCGATTTTTCTCGATTTTGGACGGGAAAAAAAATTTCTAGATTAGTGTCGAATCCTACGTAGTTTGAGGCGTAGAATCGATTGCGCACGGTCCCGAGACGCGGCGAGGCTTCCTGAACCGAGAAACGGTCAAAAACGAGCGTTTTTGATCCTTTCGAGCATGCTCGAATATCCGCGGTTATCCGCGATAGTGAGGACGGGTCGACTCGTGGAGCGTTTTGGACCAGAAATTCGGACTTCTCGACTCATTCTACAGGGGACTCGCTTCATTTCAGCCCGATCGGAGAACTTTCGATTTTGACCCCTGAATTTTAGTTCATGTAACCCCTGTCGATTTTTCTCGATTTTGGACGGGAAAAAAAATTTCTAGATTAGTGTCGAATCCTACGTAGTTTGAGGCGTAGAATCGATTGCGCACGGTCCCGAGACGCGGCGAGGCTTCCTGAACCGAGAAACGGTCAAAAACGATTTTTTTTTTATCGTTTCCAGCATCTTCGAATAACCGCGGTTATCCGCAACTGTTAGGACGGGCCGACTCGTGGAGCGTCTTGGACCGGAAATTCGGACTTCTCGACTCATTCTACATGGGACTCCTTTCAGCCCGATCGGAGAACTTTCGAATTTCACCCCGAAATTTTAGTCCAAGTAACCCCTGTCGATTTTTTTCGCTTTTGAACGGGGGAAAAAATTCCTAGATTAGTGTCGAATCCAACGTAAGAAGGAGCGTAGAATCGATTCTCCATGGTCTACGGACTCGGCGAGGCTTTCTGATCCGAGTGACGGTCAAAAACGAGCGTTGTTGCATCCTTTCGAGCATGCTCGAATATCTGCGGTTATCCGCGATTCCATTTTTTGTTCTGTCATGTTTAAGTAGAAGAGACGAATGAATATGGTTGCGGAGTAGTACCCGGCAAAGTACAGTCAAAGGTGCATTTTTTCTTTTTTATCTTTTTTTGAAGCCCTAAGAATAGAAAGCTGGTATGTCTTATCTGATGTCCAATGCTTTGAAACATATTTAAATATGAAGAGTAATGAGACTATGTAGGTATGATTTCTTAATTTCCTTGTAATGACGATAAAAGTGCATGAGAAAGCACGCAAGTAAATAGTCACCTGCCTCCTATGTATAAAATGAAAATACTCGTCCAATTTTTAGATAGTGGGTTGGACATTGCAGGTTTTGATCATTGGCGCCTTATTTTTGGATATTGATGAGTGTTTTTGAACGTTATTTGTTCTCATTACTTGCACATCATTCGTTTTGATGCATTTGGTGTGAGGTAAACCAAAAATAGATGCACGTTTAATAGGAAACATACAAAATGTTTTATTATAAAATTCAAACATTTTATAAAGAGATTCTAAAACGAAGAGAACAACAAGGAAAATGGGACTAACAATACAATGTAGTTAGAATAAAACAGTCAAATTTTCTACTCAAAATGTAACTCGGTCATTCTAAGGAGAGAACCTGATGATAGTTGTCAAATCAATACAAGAACTTCGGTTCTTCTACCCTGTTTTCCACTCAAAATACAAGGAATAAATTAAAAAAAAAAGGATTATTTTCCCTGAGTTAAATACAAATCACCGTAAAAATAAGTTAAGATAAGATTATATGGGCTTATTTTTTCCCTTCAAATTTCATGATTAGAGACAGAAGATTAAAAACTGGTTTTTGCTGTCTAGAAAGGATGAGGATTGAGATGTTCCTAATAAGACAGTGAGAGAGAGCTAGGTTTTGACAGTAACTAGTCTGATCAGTAATTACAGTTGGTGGATTTTTGCATTTACGTATTGTTATCACAAACTTCTTTTAAATGATTTATAAATAGACTATAATCTCTCATATTTGCCAGCAAAGAAACTGAATTTGGCCAAAAAAAGAGTTTCTATTTTTCATTTTTTGTTTGCTGTTTCCTTCCTGCCAACCGGACTAAAAGCTAAATTAAATTACAGATGTGAATCACGTGATCAGTTGATTCCTTAGTGACTTCCCAAGAAAGACACTTATTTCAGAAAAAAAGGAATCGTTTCACACCATCTTTTATGGAGATTTCTTTCGACAGATTAAGAAGAAATCTCTCATTTCTCAAAGTGAGTGGTTCCCTTTTGCAACGCACTGCCAAATAGGTCAGTGACGCTGATTACTGAATTGTGTATTGATTGTTTAGGCTTAAAAGTTAAAAACAAAAAAATGAGATCTGATTAAACGCCAAGTTTCTACATTCAACATTAACAGACATATCACACATCGAAAAACATGATGTTATCCTCTGTGGCAGTGCATGTCGTTGTTTTTTCCTCCTTGTTTTCATTAATCAAAATGCGCAAATGGCCTGGTTGCTTGAAGTAAAACAAAGATGAAACTAAGGTAGAAAAAATCACAGTATGCACGGTGGATGATGTCATACACCATGTTTTCCAATGAGCGATATCTCCGTTGATACTGAACGTAGAACCTTGGAAATTGGATAGATCTCATTAATTTTTGCTAGTTTATCAACTTATATCATTAAAACAAGATTTTATGACTAGCACAACTGACCCATTGCACCTGAACTTTCAATAAAATCAATGCTAAAAACGTTTGGAGACTTTTAGAATGAGATGGCAGGTTCACCATCTTGTTTCTTGTAAATACACATTTACATTTCATACATTAAAGTTTTTTTTGGTATGAATTTTATCACTGAAAGTGGACACCAGATATTATGTCACACTTTAGGAGTCAATTATTTTATTTTGGTAATTCACAGCAACAAATCAAGGACTCAGGAATCATATTGGTAAAACTTTGTAAGTAGTAAATAAAACTTTGGAGAGGCCAAGCGACAATAGTTGTCCCGATAATTTTTCACAGAACTTAAAAAAAAACACCAAGCCTTGGTCACACTTTCAATAGATTTCCCAAAAAAGACCAGAAATAATGCAACCGCCAGTCTATTTCCATCAATAGGTATTCAATGGCTTGTCAAATACTGATGGACTGGTTATGTCATTTCCCGTTCATATTGATCAACATTGGAAATAGTCTAATTACAGTTAAGTAGGATACAATTTTTGATCATGAAGTCAAACAACAGATTTCATTCTAAAATTAGTCTCTTAGTTCTTGAATCGTGATTTAGTATTATCTATTCTGGAGAAATACAATAAATGAACTGAACGGGGGTCAGCTCTTCTTTAAATTTACTTAATCAGCTTCATGTAAAAGGTAGACTGAAAGGAGTAAAAAGGTTGAACCCTCAGGATTTATAAAAGAGAATAAATGTCATCAGTTACCACAGTGAAGTAGTTTGAATTTAGACCATTAAGTAGTAAGAATGCCAACTAAAATATTGGTCCTTACAAGAATATTTTATTCTACAATGCCCTACTGTAAATATAAATGCATTGAGAACTGCCAATAAATAAGAAATGATGTCTGGCTACAGCAATCAACTTCTAATATTTACATTTTTTGAAGTTAAGAACACCCTTTTCTTGTCACAAAATTAAAAATTAACAACCTCAAATGAGGATTCTTCAATGTCACCTTGTTTTAACTGTAACGACAACACTGTGAAAATGATACTCTATCTTCAGGAGAGATATCATCAACGGTATTAAACAAAGGTTTATTTTTGGTCTCTGGTAGCAGTAAAAACAGTGATGCAGTGACTATAGAAAGTCCACCCAAAATTACACTTGGAATGTACCATCCTTGCATACTCTGAAATCAGATCAAAATAATATATAATTAGAGAATTTGCAGTTAATTATTTCCAAACTTCAAAGAACAGAATTAACATGTTGCGTGCCTGGCGCACTAGTGCATATCCTAGACCTGGCACAGCATTCTCTTACGATAACACCATAGACATTTTTGATCGGAGCTTTTTTGTCTAAGGGTATCCACTGAGGGATTAATATCATTTGAAACTTATTGAAACTCGGTGTGAAGACAATTTTGAGAAAAATTCAAGAAATAATGTTGACTTGTTCTTCTTTAAAAAAATAAAATGGAGGCGTTGATTTCAAACAAATTCAAACGAATGTGGTTTGGGACTTTCACTGTCAAAATAAATCATCTAAAATTTAATATCTGGGTGAGTTATTTGTCATCCTTTTGATTCATGCATATTTTGTGAATAGAGTTTAAGTGATTGAATACATATAAGGGGCTTGGAGGACAAGGCAAATAAGTGCAGATTTTGAAAACATTGAGATAAAAATGATTTCGACTAAAACTGGTCTAAAATATATTCCATGAAAAATTCAACACTAAGTTCCAATTTTTACAAAACAAAAGACAAGTTGGAAGTTTCTTTCTGCTATGAGGCTCTATGTAATGTTAAAACTTTAAATGCGTTTTTCTTGAAATAGCAAAACTGCACTTATGCACCTTGTCGTCTGAGCCCCTCATGTGGGTATTTAAGTATAGATCTTACCAGCATATCAACAAAAAATGGAGCTACAACGGAGCCAACTTGTGCCATCATCAAGCCTGTTCCAACAGCAGTGTTTCGCTGAGCAGTGGGGAAAATTTCAGACGTGATTAAAATCATGATGCAAAACACAGCACTGTCAGAAAATCGGCCAATCAGTGCAGCAGTTACGATGTAATTGGTTTGATCTAGAAGACAACAAGAATAAAACTTTAAAATGGAAAACAGAACAAAAGCCAACTATTAGTAAATGAGAGCCTTTGAGCTTAAGCTACTTTGTAGAACATCAAGTTTCATGATACTTCATGTTGAATTAAGCAAACTACATATCGACGGTGAAACTACCAAACCACGTATCTCGGTTTGCAACGTCGCAGACTTCCTGTCATATTTTATTTTTTAAATGAAAAACTACTTAACGTCCACTCTTGAAAATTTCTGTGATTTTTCCTCTTCGTGCGGAGAAAATTCTGTGAAAGTTTCAAGGAATGATATTGATTTGGTCTACTTCAAAAAAATAAAATGTGAGCGTAGATTTTTAAACACCGCAAACGAGATACGTGGTTTGGTAGTTTCACCGTCCATATGGAACTAATGAAGCAATTAGACAATTAATCAAGCAATTTCCTGCTTTGAATAATGAAAATTTCAGATCCTCCGGCTATTAAAAATGAAAATCTTTAACATTCTTCATTTGTGAAATGTGATAAAATACAAAGACAGTCTTATGAGTTTTGCATCAATACACTGTATAAAACAACAAAAAAAAGCTATCAAGTTATGGTTTGATGGGATCTTTAGATTACCTCTTTACCAACGAAATGAGTCTTTGTTGTGCACATTTCGTTTCACAATCGACCACGATGCAACATTTTTTCGCAGCTATGCTGCAAAGACCCCTTCCAAATTTTCCGCCTTTTTTCAAGGGGAAAAAAACAAAGGCGCTTTGAACATTAGATGCATGTATTAGAGATTGGATTTGCCACACTAACATTTTTCAAATGCCTGAGGGGCCTTCCACTGGACAGCTAAACAGAACCAGTGAACTTGTTTAGGGTAGTTTTTTGTAATAGCTCAAGTATTTTACACACAATCTGCAAATTTAAAAAAAGTAGTTATGATGCTTTTACCTCTATGAAATATGAGCGTTGACATTTGAGCAATACCGGAACAAACAAGTAGAAAAGCACACACAACTTTTCGTCCCCATAGAGCCACACTAACATTTTTTAAATGCCTGAGGGGCCTTCCACTGGACAGCTAAACAGAACCAGTGAACTTGTTTAGGGTAGTTTTTTGTAATAGCTCAAGTATTTTACACACAATCTGCAAATTTAAAAAAAGTAGTTATGATGCTTTTACCTCTATGAAATATGAGCGTTGACATTTGAGCAATACCGGAACAAACAAGTAGAAAAGCACACACAACTTTTCGTCCCCATAGAGCTAACAGAATGGAAGGAGCCAGATATGCAAAAGCCTCTATTAATCCATTCAAAGCAATGTAGATGTACTTGTTGGCAGCAAAAATGTCTCCGCTAAAAGCTGAAAGATATAAATTTCATTCTGTGAAAAATTAAAAATTGAAAAATTCAAAGAGGGAGATGTACTTGTTGGCAGAAAAAATATCTCCGCTAAAAGCTGAAAGATAGAAATTTCATTCTGTGAAAAATTTAAAATTGAATATTCAAAGAGGGATAAAGCATAGTGCATAAGTTTTCGAAATTGAAGTTTTACATTTAAAATGTAATAAAATCGAGAAAAGTGGAGAAGGATTTTCAGTTTAGCTTACTGCGTTTCCAAATTTCCACTGTAAAAATCCAAGACTGGTATGCTATGATTTCCAAATGGAATTCAAACTCTGGGCAAGATTCTTTTTTTTAGATACAATCAGGGTGGTTTTGGTGACTCTACAAAAAATAACTGAGTAATTTGCTTAAACTTTCATACATAAAGTTCACGGTATTTTCAAATTTCCCAATTTTTTGTGTTCCTGAGTTTTTACCAGAAAAAAAATAGCAGAATTCAGACATAAAATTCAGGCTGTCAAAACTTACAAATTTCAATCATCAATACTCTGAAAAGCCAAAAGTCCCTACCAAATTGAATTTTCTGAGTTTTTTTGGTTTCCTTACTTTCCCTATAACTGAGAATCCTGTATAGAGTACACATTTCCTCTTAGGAACCACGCTGGTAGGCAAAATGCGTCGAGAATAACCAAAAAGACACTTAAGGTCGTATTTTTGGCCTTGCTTACTATTGTCAGTTGATCTCAGCCCCCTTCTATGCACCCTCCATAAGTCATGAAATCGTAGAATTTGAATTCAACCTGTAGTAGGGTAGGTGGGAGTAAAAAGCTGTGCAGGCAAAAGGCTAAACCTCCCTCTTCCATTGAAAAAAACGTTCTGTTGGCAACAAAAAGATGTTTGTTGCAGTGGAAATGCTGAACTTCATCAATGGCAGGAGTTTCAAAATTATTGAGGCAAAATTCTTAAAAAGGAAAGGCAATTTCTATTTTTGAAACAAAAGGTCAAATTCAAAAACATAATAAAAAAAAAATAAACGTTTTTCATAATCTGCTCAATTTATTCACAAAACTTTAAACGCTTAGGATCAATAAAATTTATGAATGACTATGTATTATGCTATTGTATTGTATATCATGGTTTACAATACGATAGAAGGTTGTTTTCAAAATAGGGCAGACACTGCAATCCAAAAATCATGTTTCCTACTTCAATGAAGTGATCAGAAAAGGTTCTTTTCTAGCAGGTTCAATAAAAGGAGGTCTTTCAATATTTTTCCCATATGTTACAATAAATTATTTCTTTAGAATAGCAGTAAATGAAACTTATCGCTTCACTAACCATAAACACATATGTTTATCACTAGTGGCCATTCGCAAATCATGGAACAAAAAACACACTTAGGAAATTGAAATTCATTAAAAGAATTACCTATGATCTCAAGAATGCTTTTGAATTTTTGATAGGAGCATTAGTTAGTCCCTAGGGTCTGAGGTTTATGTTTTACTGCATTTCCGGAAGATGTACACAATATGGCAGCCAAAAAATGGCAAAAATAAAAAAAAGACAGCCTTTGGTCCTCACCCACCCTTATCTACAATGTACAGAAATTGTAAATCATTGAGTCTATGACTTGAACAAAAAATGCGTGATGAACTTACTGAGCGAATAATATACCAAAGCACAAACACCCCATCCGGTGTAGCTAATAAGAGTTCGTTTGCAGAGCTCAAAGTTGGTGAACAGAAATGTAAACTTTTCGACAGTTCGACCAAACTGCTGGTACCAGTGCAATGATTCTCTCCGAATATTTGGTGTCTATGGAAAGAAGTAAATTTTTTTTAGGAATGAGGATAAATCATACCATGCTTTTAGGAATTTTTTAGTTTTATGAAGACTACTTCTCTATGAGTTTATTTCATGAAGACTTCATTAATTAAATTAAAAAACGTCCTGAATAAAATGTTCACTGATCTGAGGTATTGAGGGACAGTCGTACTTTTCTGTAAACACAAAGGACCACTATACAAAGTGTGAATTTAAGCGGTATGATACATTTTTCTAACTGATACTTCACATAAAAACGATTTTTTGCTTGCAGTTACTGAATTTACCTCCTGACTCAAATATTAAACATTTTTTATTAGATGAATTCAAAACTTCCTCTCATGAACAAGCAAAAGTCTATGTTAGTCAAATCGCGCACTAAACATTACCATAACAGTCTCTGCTGTATGACAATATGGCAACCTCAATTTCTGTGTTTCGACACAGCTGTTGTACGTTGCTAACACTTTGAACAACACAGGGGGAAGGAACATTGCTCGATTAAGAAGCCTGCCAAAACCGTTGGAGTGTGCTATTTGATTAAAAAAGACTGTGGTTTTTTGGGGGAAAGCAAAAAATGAAAATTCCCGTAATCGATGTAAACTGAAAACATTAATATCTTTGTTAGGAGTTAAATTCAGTAAGTTTCGGTGAGCAAATCGTGTTCTACGTAATATTTTGCTTAGGAAACTAACATCATGATGCTTGAATTTGCAATCTGTCTCAGTCTATTGTTGAAATTTTGCATTTGTCCACTGGATGGAAAAAGGATAAGTCAGAATAAAATAATGCGATTGATCGGTTGTCTAGCTGGCTTTCTTTATGGTGCCATCATGAGGCCAGAATATCAATTGGTTGTGGTCACCTAGAAGGTGCCTTTAGTTTCTTGATAATCCAACCAATACTACCACACTAAAGAAGACAAACAAGGAAACCGATTAGTTACATGATTTTGTTCCACCCAAGTCTAGTCTTGTCCAGTGAATGGACATAAAATTTCAACATACGGCTTGGTAGTGCTCAATATATCTACCATATTTTTTACCCAAGTGTGAAAGTTATTTAAGAAGAATGTTACCTCACTCTTTAAACTTCATATACATGGGCTACATTCATTAATTTTGATCTTAGAATGTTTGTCATGATAAACTGAGTCCAGAGATTCAAACAAGAACGCATGCAGACCAAATCTACGCATGCCCAAGCATGATAGGGCCCCATTTCTTTCACAAAACTAGGGGTGTTCAAACGAATTCTTGCCGGAACACTTTCGATATCGTCTCTTATTGAAACTGGCGCAGTACCGACAGTGGCGATGATATCGACAACAGCCGGCCTTATCGGATTTTTGAGAGCTCGCACTCAATGTATTGTTGCCCCGTATGTCCGTTTATCAGATTGCCTGGTGCGGCGATGCGTAAAAGAGATGTACAAATGGCAACGGCTTATTTTCGTCAGCTCCGAAAACTCTGATCGCTATCGGCATGAGCGCTCTTATCGTAACTTTTTTTTAACGGAACTGTTTCGGTAGCTTACCGACAACCAATAGAACAGCCCTACACATAACTGGTCTCATTAGACTGACATTTAAATCTTCAATTGAAGCGACTTTTGGTAAATACTATTTTGCATCTTAGGGTAAGGCCAACAATACATCCACTGTTTTTTCATTCAACAGCCAATTAACCTGCATGCCAATCAACCTTCATTTGCCTGCATGAAATCTAGAGGAACGTAATTTGTCTCAGAACTTCAAGTCTGGTAGGAGCCCCAAGAAGGACACACATCTCTGAGCATTCCAGCAGCTTGCATTTTTAGTAATTATTTTTCAATTTGGCTTGCCAGACTCAGAACATCCTGAGAACAGCCTACAGTTACAAAGAGACTTGAGAAGCCTTTCACTGCATTAAAACTTGAATTTTGGATTCATTTCTCAAAAAGAGAAAACCCGGCTGGCTTTGAATGAGTAAAGATGGTGAATCGTTTGCTGAACGCTGAGCAAAGATGGGCAAAAAATGTATGTTGATAGAAAAAAATTCTGATGCAAACCTCATATATATTGATTTCGTTCTTCCCTGATGGTGGCTGGAAGGAGTGATCTGCCCATTTTAAAGCAGCCCATGCTTCTGCATTCCTTTTTTCTGCGACAAGCCATTTTGGGGACTCAGGAAGAAGCCTTCAATAGCAAAAACATTCAGTTATAATATACAGTGATGGTTCCAGGGCAAGTTATGCTTAAATTTAAGGACTGCCATTGAGTGTACCTACGCTCAAGCTTTTGAGCTCAAAAAATTGATGTGTGTAAAGAATACCTACTAGGCAAAAATGATTGAATCGAACCGCACACTTTTCTCCGTGTTTCATGAGACTTGGATTTTGGCACTTGGGCCCTCAGGAAAAATATCGGTTTGATTCTTCCCTCCATAAAACATGGGCGATCAAACAGATATTTATTACACTTAATTGGACATATTTCTATCAAACGGAACTAAGCTCCATAGGGGGAGGAAGGTAGAGAGGGGCATGGATTGGCGGCGGAACCGGGCGTCAGGCTCATTCCGTCCTATACTCGCAATGCTTTTCATTGGCGCTTAGTTCCGTTTGACAGGACGCGCTATCTGGCATTCTAACAATAAATTCCTCAAAAGGAACGCAAATTGGCGCTTAGTTTTGTTTGATAGAAGTACGTCCAATTTTCATTGACTTTGCAACAAAAAATCTAGGATAAATGGAAACTGCAACTTTAAGGAAAGTTTCATAAAATGATCATTGAGCCAAGAAATATGAGTAAGTTTTTAGTGTAGAAGGACTTACCAGCAATCCAACAAAAGTACAAAAACAAGAGGCGTTAAATACAACTGCAAGGTTCGCCAAGTAACTGAGTAGTATGCAAATAGAGGTAGTATCATCATTCCAACAGGGTAGGAGATGTTGAATAATGTACAAAATCGAGTTCTCCATTTTCCCACCAAAAATTCTGATACTGAAAAGAAGAGAAACAAAATGAGAAATTATTTGGGATGAAATTATATTTACGTCAACAGCTTTGTTAAAAAAGTGCGAATAGAACAAAATGCAAGGAAGGGTTTTTAATTATTTTAATGTCTATTGCAAACTTTGTCCTTGGAAAAACGCATTCAAATTCACGGGAGAAATTAGAGAGACAATGGATTATCTGATGCGTCTTGGACTAATCCTCCATTAAAAATGTATTCAGTTTCATTGATGGACCATTTAGTACAAAGGAGGAATCCAACTTCAAGAGAGAAATAAATATACGATTAAAAAATTGAGGCAAGAATTTTACACAAAAGTAGTTAAAAATAAAAAGAAGGCAATTTTCATAGGACAGATTTTTCAAGACATCGCTTTTTGAAATTTTCATCTATTTATTGCCTCTGTGACTAAGCCTCCATGAGAATGTATTCAGTTGTACTGCTGAACCATTTAGTAGGAAGGAGACATCAAACCTCAAGAAAGGAGTCAATATGAGACCAAAATTGGAGATGAGAATTTCGCTTTAAAGTTGTAAAAAAAAAATAAAAAAGAGGTAATTTTTTGTGGAAAAAACTTTTTGAGGGATCATTATATTTAATTTTTCCGTTTACTTTCGTTTTTGTGCTACTATACTTGCATAAGACTCTACTTACAAATAGTGTAAGCAGTTTCATAAACACCCGCTCCTGCTACACCAATCAAATATCGTGACAGAAGAAAAAGTGGAAAGGAGTAAATAAAATTGCTTGCAGGAACTGAGATCATGTAAAGCCAGGCAGCGTAGGAAAAGCTTCTTTTTCGACCAAATCTGCAACAATTCCAATTATTTATTCAGCATGTTCAAATGAGAGTTGACGTTTGGAAATTGATATGGTTAATCCTTTTTGAAGTACGATAAAAATGGATCCACAATACCTCATATCATCACCTCAAGAGAAGTAAATATTAACAATTTACCAAATATACTTTGTGATCGGGGCAGGGGCACATTAATTATGATATGAAATTGCAGAATTGTGTATGTAAGTTTGCGGTTTCACAAACTTCCAGTCATACTCAATTTTTTACAGGGAATACTGAACTTCATTTCTTGAGAACTTAAGTGATTTTTCCTCTCCATGTGAAGAACATTCAGTAAAAATTTCTAGCAATGATGTTGGTTCGGTCTACTCTCAAAAAATGAAATAAGAGCGGAGGTTTTTAACACTGCAACCTAAGTGCAAATTTTTGCAGTTTCATCAGTGTCATGAATTATTAGATGAATTACATAAATAATGATTACTCGTAAGCATTAGACCGGAGTAAAAAATTGAGATTATTTTTACACATATTTCCTGGAAATAATTGATGTGTATGTGTATGTATGAGCCGCTTTTACGGCGCGCTAGGGCGCTCTGCGACGCCTATTCTCCACAGGAATCTGTCATGGTAGAGATCCTCCGGAAGCTGGCATCTCTCCATCTCTTCATGGATGCCCTCTACCCACCGTTTGGCTGGACGCCCTCTCCGTCGCCTACCTGGGGGGACCCACTCCAACACCTTCTTCGGCAACCTGGTATCANGAAAACAATCCAAAAATTATGGCACCCGTAAATTTACCAAGAGCAAAGACACTCTGAACCACGGACTTCAGATACCCTTGATCACAGACAAGATCCCACTGAAACAGTGTCAAAGAGGATGATTAAAAGTTTTGTTAAACTAAACAATGAACAAATTTCAATGACAGTAGCAAGTATACACTTCCAAATAAAGAAGATATTTTGGTATTCGGCTACTCATGATGCAAAAACAAAATTTGAGCTATTAGCCGACTTTACAAATATATGCAATAATTGCGACTCAGGCTATGCTTCAATAAAAAAATAATCCTCTTGCGCACTGTTCTATTTATTAGAGCATGGCCTGAGTCACAATTATTGCATATATTTGTAAATTCTGCTAATAGCTCAACTTTTGTTTTCACTTCCAAATAAATAAATTTAATTAAATATAGTAAAGAATATGAAACTGCTGGGGCAGCACTTTGTATTGTATGAGAGGCCCTTTTTGGCTAAAGACACCGGGGTGCTTGAGCCAGTGACTGGGAATAAACTGGTTCACCAATTAAGATTGGCATCCCAGCTTTAAGCTATTCTCAAATAATCAACTCCTAAAAAAGATATAGGTGTTTATGATTAAAATTAACACCGGTTCAATGGTTAAAATGCAAATGACGTCATTTGTATGATCCAACTTCCATTTGATCCCAGTGAAAGTTTCTTATACTTCAGACCTTGTCCAGTCGCCCATTCTTCTTCAAAATTGAGAGGGACAAGACTTCAAGTTATTCTTGATTAACAAACTTTCAGATCACAAACCTCACTTTCAATGGAGGACTCTGGTTCATCTTCCAGAAAAGATCTCTTTTTACACTCCAATATTTCGGGTTTTGAAGCTGTTGAGACAGCAGCCTTCGCATCATCAAAGCCGAGGGGTGCTAGGAGTGTATAGTTCCAATTGTAGTAGGTGCAGCTATGATTCCAGTCTTTGACGTTTCTGAAAAAAATTTAAAAAATGAAAAAATTATTTTAGTGTTTTGAAAGCAAATTCCTGGGAAAGGAAATAATTCCTAACTTTAGATTGTCCGACATTTTATGTTATTATTCTCTCATTTATGATTGTTGGTATTATGTACATTCAGAGAGGCCAATGAAACATTCACGAGGAAAAACATAAATTACTGTCATTCTTTGTTATTTTTTTTATCAAATACCTACCAACGAGCATTACAGGGAATTCCTTTCAGCTTCTGAGACAATTTTGGAGTAAATGTGGTTGTTTATGAAACTGCTAGTTTGCGATACAGATTCAAAAGATAAACAAATCTTAGAGAAGAAGAAAATGTTCAAATGACTCACTCAGGGATAGAGAAACTTCTAATTTGACTGGAGGTCCAATTGGCATTTTCCAAGTCGGGAATCGTGCACCAATGTGGCGAGTTGTGAGTGACAAAAACATAGACGGATATGTGGATTGCATTAAGAACGCCTGGAGCGCTGACTAGTAGAAATAAGATAAACTGCCAACGCACTTTTTGGCCAATGCTCTCCAAAGCAGGTTCTAAATCATCACTGTTCCCATTTTTCTCTGCCAAAACAAAAAAAGGAAACACAAGATAGGAAAATCAACTCATTTGAGAGTTAAAATATGAATTATCACAAAAAGAAACAACATTAGAAGTCATAATAATTAGTTCAGTTGTTTTAATCATCTTTTGTCATGTAAAACTTGGTCAAAAAAGGTCCAAAATTACTTTTTTCTAAGAAACTTCCAAAAAAAAAAAAAAAAACTGTCATTCATTATAAGGGTTAAAAACTACATCTTTCAAGAGTGCCTAAACACTTCTTTTTACTTCAATTTTACCTTTCGTGAGTTGTATTTAAGAAAATACTCCAAAAGAAATTCCTAATGAATAAATTGTCAAAGTCTTTTGAAAATTTGTTCTCTTAAAATTTACGAGTTACTGAAAAGTCTTTTGATAGCCGTTGCTACTGGGAATCCACTGGGCACAAACTTAAGAAAGCATAAAAAATGAGCCTCTTTAAATTTTGTAAAATTTAAAACCTCTTTCATATTGAAAAATAAGAAAACAAAGTACTCACCAATTAAAAAAGCATTTTGCTACATTAAAAATTATATCATTTCGAAATGATTTAATTTTTAAGAAACTATTTGATGGGCATGCCTTATCAAGTAAATTTTCAAATTCTGCTTCAATATTGTCTTGAGAGCCTCCCAACTTAGATTTTTCTCCAAAGAGGCTAGAAATTTAAAAAAAAAAAGTTTGAGAAAAATCTCATAAAATTATACACCCACTACATTTTTAGTTAGCTCAGAATTTGAGGTTAAATTTAATTCAAAATAAATCAATGCAAAAATTAATTAAAAGCTCCTAATACATGATTAAACCAAAAATAGTTTTGGAGGAGATTCAGAAAGTACCGTAAAGTTTTCAACTTGAGATAGGTAATAATATTTACCTCAGCTTTTAAATTAACTTACCGTCTCCTTCTAAAGTCATACTTTCTTCAGAGAATAATAATTCTTAAGAGTCACCAGTGCCCCTCAGCAGATGTTTCGGCGAGTGCCTGAACCACAAACAAAAGAAAACAGAGGAATGAATTAAAATAAAAGAGAATTAGGATCACTACTGAAATGAATTGCAACTGGAAGAGAGACAATAAATGGACTACATTTTGCAATTAGGAACTATAACTTCCGGCCCGGTTTAAAAACAACGTATGTGCCCTTAGTTTCCCTAAATACATAAGTGTTTTTTCAGATGAGCCAGAATTTATAGCTCCATATTGCAAAATGCAGTCCCAATATATTTTTCCCGAACGCAACCACCGGAGGTTCGGTGTGGGTTCATTTTAAAGCTAGAGGGAACCAGAAAATCACAACAATAAGGCACATTAAAATAATAGACTCATCATCGAGGTAAAATTAGATGAGTGCGGTTCAATCAAGAATTAAAAATGGACCCAGTCAAGATAACGGACCGATAAAGTTAATGCCACTGTTCAGAGCGCCCGGACACTTCAGGATACAACTATTCATGTTTAACAGCTATCCATATTGCATACAGAAAGAGATGAAGGCGCTTTGACTTTTCTGGCCCCCGTAGAGAGCCGCAGACGCCGAGGATAAGTCCACCCAATCAGTTATTACCAATTTTTAGAGTGGCTGTCTTCGAAAAAATCAGTATCGCGTTTTATTTACAAATGCTCATTACTTAAGGTGATTCGATGGATGACACATTTTGTGTCAGACCGGTATGCGACATATCGCATCGATTGGTTCCATTTTTTTAGCTACTCGTCATTTTTCTCCAATTTTGAGATCGCAATTCTGTTGTCAGGAGACTAAAGCACTCACTTACTAATTTAAACAAAGAAATTCAACGTAATAAAGGCGTGGTTTTTTCAGAGAGAAAATATCGCATTCGAGTGCAGTTTCGATATCAGTATCGGATGCGATGTTTTCTCTCTGAAAAAACCACGCCTTTATTACGTTGAATTTCTTTGTTAAAATTGGTAAGTGAGTGCTTAAGTCTCCTGACAACAGAATTGCGATCTCAAAATTGGAAAAAAATGACAAGTAGCTGAAAAAATGGAACCAATCGATGCGATATATTGCATGTCGTTCTGACACAAAATATGGCGTCCATCGAATCACCTTAAGGGCGGAGTTTTTGTAAATGGACCGCGTTTAGCGGCATGGAACGCCTTCAATTGATGCGCGATACTTCACGCATTCCGGAGAGTTTGAATAGTTGTATCATTGTGCCTTATTAAAGCGACGTGAGATTCAAGTTAAACCGTGTTAAGTGGAGAGGAACCAAGCCACATCAACCATTGCCAAATTTAACTGGGCCAATTGATGCGATATATCGCATGTCGTTCTGACACAAAATATGGCGTCCATCGAATCACTTAAACTCGCTCATGCACTCGATTCTTCGATTCCATTGAATTTCTTTGATCTGTGAACCTCGTAGGCCTTCATGAGCCTACTATTTAAAAGAGACATCGGACTTTTGTCCAGCGCTCTTCTCCTTTATTTTGAGCATTTGATTCCAGAACTGAGCGTCCTATAGCTTAAAAATGCCCACGTTACTCAAGTAATTCTCGCAAAGCACGGTTTTCAAATATCCTTCGTAACTTGCAAAGAATGCCAACAGATGAAAAGAGAGAAAAGTTCATAAATGAACTTGGAGATGGAGAGTACACTGAGAAAAAATTATGGTTATAATTACCATATTAGTGGTGTTCAATACGAACTCTTAATAAGACGTGGCCATAAACAATAATAGTGATATTTTTACCATTAAATGGTAATTTTACTACCGCACACTTGCTCCAGTAAAAATATCACTATTATTGGTTATGGCCACGACTAATTAAGAGTGCATATTGAACACCACTAATATGGTAATTATAATCATAATTTTTTCTCAGTGTAATACCGTCGTTCCCCGTGAGAAGGAACGTATCTACGTTCCAATGTTGCGAAATTGACTAGTACTATTCAATTTTTCAGGAGGATGTACCTGCACTTTTTCTGACAAAATTTATTCTGATATTTGCGTGACATTAGAGGTAAAACCAGTGAAATTTTCAGTTAGAGATTCTCAGGATTCTCCTGTGAAAAATGCTACTCCCAAGAAGAAAGTTGGCAACATTGAAAGTCAGTTACATTCTTTCGTGAGGGAAACGACGGTACTTTCCGTTAATAAATAGATATTCTACCATTTCTTTGAACATAGGCAAGCATAAGCGATACATAGTCTGGAACGCTCCTAGGTTATTTCGGCTTCCACTATCTGCTTCAACAGATCAGCCATAAAAATATTCTTTTTAGTTAGATTTTTAAAGTTTGGTCACACTTTAATTAGCCGGCGCCAACCTCATGACGGTTCCATATATCTCACATGAGATAGTTCGCCCCGTCACGAGGAAAAGGCATAGCATAGTTAATAGATGTTCTGTGGGTTTGGCCAGATGAGCGAGATGAAAAAGGAGTTGAGAGTTCTGGAGTGGGTAATAAAACATTAAAATGACACTTGAAATAGTGCTAAACCCTTCATCAGGTGACACTAAGTGACAATGCATACAGAGGATATTTTAGAGACTATTAAGTATTTAATCAGTGAGCAGTGCGAAGTTTTCAGAGAGCATCGCACGGAGAAAAATTCACACGACTTCGCACAAGTTGTTGTCTCAAATCCAAGCAGCGATATGCGCGGAGTCAATTCGTGAAATGGATAGTAAAAATAATCGGAGATAATAGTTTTTTGCGAGATAAGAGGGGAACTGGAAAAATAGCGGGAGAGAAACATCGGAACGCAGTAGGGAAAATCGTTTAGGTTGCACGAGGCATAGAAACAGAATTTCATTACATCATCGTTGGCGCGGGGCCAATTTTATTTCGAATACCGCCGGAATAATTGACCCGGGATCGCGAAAAAACGACCTTGAACAGTGTCTCGCACACGTTCAACTCAGTTCAAAACAAACGCGAGTAAATAATGATGCCACTCATCCGGATGGAAATGGAAAAGGGAAACCTAAAAGAGGATATCGATGTATCTTCGGGGATAGAAAAAAAAACTGAATACATCAAATCGATGACGAAAGCCGAAAGATAGGAAAATTTTAGTGTCTTCTATTACCTATGTTTCATTCCTATCAAAAGGAAGTTAACCAAAACATTTCCTGCAAATATCTTAGGGAAAGGGATTTAAACAAAAAAATTCAAGAGGAAATGTCGATTGGTTTCCTTTTCCGAAAAACAGAGAAAAGTATCATAAAGATGTATTTTTAGCCGATAGATTTCTTCGCCTATTTTGTTGACTTGAACAACGCATCTGTTGACTTTCTGTTTTAGCGTGTTCGACACACCATAAACCGCCTACCTACAGCAAGACATGATCTCTGATCATGGAGGCTTTATTAGAATTTATCAGATCTGAAAAAACGGTCAACCTATTTTTAGCGTTTTTCGTTGAGTAGAATGTGAATTGCAAAAATTCATACCTTACTTGAGGGACCATTCATAGATTAGGCAGGAACTGCAATTAGCGGGAGGGTAGGAGGGTATCTACAAAATGATTGACAATAGGCGAGGGGGGGTCAAGCTTGAACTCTCTGCAAGGCTCTGCGCATCTAGATTAAAAATTGGTCATGTTAAAAACAGGTAATATTGGAAAATAGTCGCCTTGAACTTTTTTCTGAGTTTGATTCTCATAAGTTTGAGTGGGAGAACGAAGTAGAAAAGTGCGCTTCGCCTAATGTAGTTTGTGAGGGTAGTTGTGAGGTGCCTGCGAAGGAATAGGGGGTCAAATACCGGAAATAAAGCTTGGGGTGATTTGCGAATTCCTCCCGAGAGACGATGATTTTGAACTTTTTAATAAATGCATAATTTACTACTTGAAATTTCGGTGAGGAAATGCATGTGATGTTGTGCTAATTGGACTGAGTTAAGCAGAAAGGAACCAACCCACATTTTGGAAAAAATTGAGCTGTGAGTGGTTTGGAACTCAACCACTGCTCTACTATCTATCGCCAAAAATTCAAAGTTTTTGTTGGAGCAAATTTTGCAGAAATTGAACTTGAAGTTTATCTTTTACATTGAGTCTTATGCAGGAGCCAAACTTTAAACCTCTTTTTCTCGGTTCGATCCCGATGTGGCTTGGTTCCTTTCTGTTTAACTCCGTCCAATTATACCTTGTCATCTGACCAATGAAACTACTAAGACTAAAAAATTAGAGATTTATATGAATAGAAAGGGCTTAAACCCTATGATTTTCCAGTAAAAATGTGCTCATTTGGCCACAACAGTTTTAATAAAAAGGTCTAAAAAAACTCGTAAATTTTAAAAGGACGACTCTTAAAGAAACTGTTAAAATTGATGTTTCACAAAATCCTTGATAAGTGTTTTTTAAGTGAAATGTTTCAATATTTTCCTGGAATAACTCTTAAAAGTACACCGAAGTTTTTTAATACTTAAAATGTCTCAAATTTTGTTAAAAAACGGTTCAGAATTTTTATTTATTTTTTTTTAATTTTTCTATAAGTGATACGTAAAGTAAAGGAAGTTTTACCAGATGTGAATTTTACATGAAAAATTATCCAAGAATGTCTTCATAAGCCTAATATTTGGCAGTATTGGTAGAAGTTATCGAAAAGTTCTTTACGTTCATCGTTACTGCACTGGAAAAAAAAAAAAAAAAAAAAAAAAANGCACTGGAAAAAAAACACATTGGATCTAGAGTCCAGACTCTTGAAAACATCGATAAGAAAAGATACTCTTGATTCAATCAGATTTAAGCTTAAATCAAAAGGAAATCCGCTCAAATTAAGAGGCTTGGTTCTCGATTCAAGCAAAAATCCGATTGAATCAAGAGTATTTTTTCTTGGCGATGTTATTAAGAGTCTGGACTCTGGATCCAATGTTTTTTTTTTTTTTTTTTNTTTTTTTTTTTTTTTTTTTTTTTTTTTTTTTTTTTTTTTTTTTTTTTTTTTTTTTCCAGTGAATGCTATCAAAATCCAAAAAATCTTACCGCTGCGGTATGAGAGCAAGACAGGAGGAAATCCTTTGGCGAGAGGAAACTAGTAAAAGAGTAGAGCAAAACCAACAGGTGAATCACTGTGCCGAGAAGGCGGAACCGCGAGGCGCCCTCCGGATAGAAATCATATTTTGTGGGCACTGGAGAGCGGGAAGACTAGGAGGAGCGAGCGGTTGCTTGAGGGCCGAGGACCGGCGAACCGAGACCCGAGATGAACTAGTGGTAGCACTGAGTGACCTAGAGGTGAATAGATGAATCCATCATGAATACTCGCAGTAGGTCTCCGCTGTGACATTATCACAAAGCCGCGGATGGACACGAGTCAAAACAACGACAGCGACAATGACGTAATAAACGCCTTCCCGCCGCCGTCGCACAGTAGATCGAGTCAATTAGAGATGTCAGACATGAAATTTTTGACTAAAACTGCGAATTTTGACGTTTATTTCGCCACACACTGGAAAAAAACCACATTGGATCTAGAGTCCAGACTCTTGAAAACATTCACAAGAAAAAAATACTCTTGATTCAATCAGATTTTTGCTTAAATCAAAAGGAAATCCGCTCAAATTAAGAGGCTTGGTTCTAGATTTAAGCTTAAATCTGATTGGATCAAGAGTAATGTTTCTTGTTGATGTTTTTAAGAGTCTGGACTTCAGATCCGATGTGTTTTTTTCTCCAGCGAGGGGTTCTCCAAGAGGAAAAGTTCATGACGAAACCAATTTAATCACTTTTAGAACCTCAAAGTTTTGTAGAAACGGAGTTGTAAGCGTTTAAAGTTCCCAAATTTTGTCCAACCTCTCCTATTGACGCGATCCACTGTGCGGCGCGGCGCTACCGACACTGACAATGAAAGGTGATTGACTCACATACATACGATCGTCGGCCAAGAATTGCAGTGTAAACGAGTGCATTGTTAATTCTTCCCCGCGAAATTATAAGTCAATCATAACTTGTAAAATACTCATGCAGTTCCTACTTCGCAAGAATATCTCTTTGTGGGAGGGGGGGATTGCCTTCACCGATCATCGTTAGCTGGTGAATTATGGCCGGTGACTGATGAAATTCGGGGGAGGGCATTAACAATTGATCAAAAACGTTACTCAATTTGTTTTCGGTAAACACCCGTTGCTAATGACAGAGTCATCGTTCGTTTATTTTATGACCGGATGATTTTTCATCTCTTGATCATTTTTGGACACTTTTCAGGTGAAAGGTGAATATTTGTCTTCCAAATTTTCAGCTAATTTTATTCGCGCTTTAATTTGAAGCGTCTGAAAATGTCAGGGAAAGATCCTCAAACATTTCCTCAAAAATAAATATTTTATCACGAGAAATCTAGTAACCTTCGAATGTTAATACCTTGTTTATAGTGTCCATGAATTATCCATTCGGAACAAGAGCAAAGAAATAAAAGACAAAAAAACTCTTAAAACAAAAAACAGAGCAGAAGAAGGATGAGGATGCGCTAGTCTCGAGAGAAAACAAACACTCGCGCGTAGAATTTTAAGTTTTGAGACAAGTACAATTTTCTCGTAGTAATCCAGTCGTCTCTTGGGCACTTTTCAACCTGAATACACCGCCATTAAGCAACCAGTAGATGGGGGTAGCGGTTGATACAGATGAGAGAGGAGAGAGGGGTCTAGGAACAATCCGTCGCTCTTCTGTCGTAAGAGCGGATCTCGAGTTCTGTAAGAGCCCCAGAGAGCATAGATTTATATGTGAAACAGGGATCACGTGAGAATTGAGATAGGCCCTTACGTCAGTAGAGCGACGAATTGTTGGCGAATTTTCCGGCAGTATCCGTGTTGATAACACCACGGATTCAAGGCGATGGTTTGCAAGTGGAATACAAATGAGCGGCTTCACTGGAAAAAAAAAACCAAATTGGATCTAGAGTCCAGACTCTTGAAAACATTGACAAGAAAAAATACTCTTGATTCAATCGGATTTTTGCTTGAATCAAAACGAAATCCGCTTAAATTAAGAGGCTTGGTTCTTGATTGAAGCTAGATTCTGATTGAATCAAGAGTACTTCTTCTTGTCGATGTTTTTAAGAGTCTGGACTCTAGATCCAATGTGTTTTTTTTTTCCAGTGTAGGAGGACAAGGCGCGTGAATTCAGTTGTTGAAAAAAGTTGATAGATCAATAATTTCAACTGAAACTAGTCTTGAAATATATTCTGTGAAAAATACACGATTAAAATTCAATTTGACAGCATTAAAAAGTTAGTTCCAACTTTTTTCCCGCCATCAGGCTTTTTTCGTGTTCCCTCCTCTTCCACGCCGAAAACGATTCAAACAAATGGTTCCCTCCAGTTCTTTATTTTTGTATGATTATAATGACAATAATCCATTTAGACATTGGAAAAAATTCAATATCAAAAACATTAACTGCGGAGGTTTGAAAATTAGAGCCAAAACACAGTGCGGATTGCGCGAAATAGCGCCTGCAAGACTGCAGAAATACTTCACGCATTGGGTATAGCATCGTGACGTGCTTTACACCGCGTGGCCGTGGTGGTTAATACTCCACGGTGCGTGCGCGCAATGCGCGTAGTATTCTTGCAGTCTTGCAGGCGCTACTCCGCGTTTGGCGCACTGCGTTTTGGCTCTAATATTCAAACCCCGAGAGTTAACGTTTTTCAACTCATGAATTTGAAATGTATGTAATTTCTGAATGGATTTTAGACGTTTAGGAATGTAGGCATTCTGTTCCCATTGTTAAACGTGAAAATAAAACGCACAACTATGTATTCGATCTTAGGAGTGTACCTGCCGTGATATTAAGGTAAAACGAGTAATTTTTTAGGTTTCTACAAAACCGCCGGAACAATCTCGTATTTCCCAATATACAGAGATGATAAAAGCGTAATTACTCATTGTTTTTTTTTTACATAAGTGCTGGAGAGATCTAAAATTTGCCGCGATACTGAGATGAAAATCAATAAGTTATAATATTTTTTTTATAATTTTACGAAACCTCCAGTTCTTTTTAATGTTAACGGAAATTTGCATAAAAATGTTCAAAAAATCAACGCTGGCTAAAGCGGACACCAAACGCAACTATTCGAGCTTTAGAGTAGTCATGCCGTGTCACGCGAAAATGAAGGAAAATCTTAATTTTTCGCCCATCTCAAATCACTGACATTTTTGACCGTAGGTATCATGCTCGCATTCTTATGAGCGGTAATCAAGCGCGCAACAACTCGAACTCTGAAGTATTCTTGCCACAACATGGACGTGAAATACAAGTAATTTTGCGAAAAATACAGAAAAAGAGAACGCAACTAATAGAATCATGTGGTATCACGCGAAAATGAAGGAAAATCCACGCAGAGCCTTAAATGAAAATACCGTGTTCATGCAAATAGTATCTTCTGAAATTCTCACCACGGAAGCCCCAAAATGTGTCCAAATGGATTTAAAATGTCAAAAATTTTCCGGATCTTTTGAATGCAACGATTTGAAAGTATTCTTCACTGCGGGTAAAAAAATAAACGTGATTTTCGGCAAAAATAGATGGAAAATCTGCGTCAAGGGAGCCTCAAAGTGCGTCCAAGTAGATTTAAAATTTCAAAAGTTCCCCCGGTGTGGCCCCTCGGACTCTCTCCTGAACTGGGGGGTAAGGTACACCTTACCCCCCACCCCCC